ATCTGGCGGAGGATAATAAATTATAACATTCTCCAGAAAAACATCATAAAAAAAAGATTTTTATTGAGGAATGTCACTCAGGAATATATCCACGAATTAGGAAAATGGACATTTCAATGATTCAATGATTCAAGCAACAAACCTGTTGATAATTACAAATGGGATGATTAAGACACAGATCATGTACATCTCACATGTTGGTGATATTGCTTCTGTTTATTAAGGTTACTTGAACCATTGCACACACACACAGACAAACAAACATTGAGCCACAGTATTCTTCCAGAGAAAGCCATTTGCAGAATGAAATCATCTCGATGTCCAATAAAGACGTCTGCTGGTATGACCTTGTAATTACTACACAACGTCAAGCGTCATGTACAGCAGCGTTCTTACAACAATGTAAGTCAATCTATCACAATAATGAAGCCATATAGTCAAGAATCATTGACAAATCATTATACACTACTCAAAACAAGTCCCAGAACACCCACAATAGGTAGGCTGTGTGTTGCAATACCCACCTGCCATGTCAGATTAACTGTAGTCATATGAACACATCGGGTGTTCTTTAACTTCTTTTAAGTGGTATACAGAAAATAAAAAACGAATTAATTCGCATTTTACAACACATTGCATATTGTTTATAAAGCAAAAAGAAGTAGTGCCATAATGTTCTTTTATTTGGGAAGTCATGACACTGTATGATGTCATTAATCAAATGTTGCTGCATGTTAGCAACTAAGTAAAGTATGCTACTGCTCACCTGTTTATCAATTTGCAAAGGAAAAATACTAACATCTGGCAGGGTTTTGTTTTGTTTGTTGTTCCACGCCGCAATATTCCAGCTATATGATGGGAGGCCTGTAAATAATCGAGTCTGGACCAGACTATCCAGTGATTGACATGAGCATCGACCCACGCAATTAGGATACGATGACATGCATCAACCAAGTCAGCAAGTCTGACCACCCGATCCCGTTAGTCGCCTCTTACGGCAAGCATGGGCTGCTGAAGCCCTATTCTAACCAGGATCTTCACAGATCAATAGGCAAAGGAAAAACATGTACATCTAACATGAGTGAGTGAGTGAGTTGGGTTTAACGCCGCTTTTAACTCTAACATGGCAGTTGAAATGTGCACCTAATACATTATAAAATGCACACAAATCACCTGATTTTTGTTCATTTTTTTCGTTAAAATCATTGAGATTTTTATAATACTATAGCTTAATATAGACCAGCAGACATCCTTAAAAAACACAAGGTTCAGTATCTCATTCCAAGTTTAATATAAAATATATATATGATCAGACTTGCAACATGAATTAAAATTAACTTAATATGCAAATTTCCACTTTCTAGATTTGGTGATGAAGCTTCAACTACAAGTTGTAAAATGTTCCATTTCATATATAATTGAAAACATGATTTGTGAAAGGATGGTGTGATGTGATAAAAGGAGATCTAGAACGTCTGATGGGTAGAGAACATGGTTTTCATTCTCACTGAGGTTGTCGTTGTGAGCTACCACAACACTTCCACAGATAAAACATATTTGCATTTATTAACATTTAAGAAGTCCAATGCATATTACCGTATTTGATGTAATAAGCGCCCACGGCGATATTTGCTAATATATTGGATGGTGCACAATCCCAATTACCACCCCTTCCGATTGATCAATGTACACAAGACTTATTTATTCGTGTACCAGTATAATACACACTCGTGTGTTATATGCACCCTTAATTATGGGCAATTAAATTCTGAAAAAATATATCTGTCGTGTATAATATGCACAGACTTTTCTTTGGTACTATTTCAGGCTGTCAGCATAAACAACGAAATTTACGATCTTTCAACTCTGTTTTTTTTTTCATCAGTGGATGTTGGTTTTGTGAAACGTTCTCTGATTGGACTACCGATATGTGCCATAGTCCAATCATATTTAGCACAGGAAAGTGGGCTTGATGTGGCAAAGTTGGAAACAAGACTTTGATCAAAAGCTAGTGGACCCTCTTGTCTCGGGAAGATGTTCCACACAAGGCTGCAGCAGCAAATAGGTCCAGGACGTTTATCAAGATAGAATGGCAATATAACACACTGTATCACCAAGGATACACTTGACATAACTTTCTTACAAACAATATTATCCTGTGAAGTCTTAATAGTGGCAACACGTCAGATATATACATAATTCAACAAGGGCGAATCAACATTGTCCACCTAAATAAAATAGATACACGATTGATATTTAATCACTGACCATTGGTAACAGCAGTTCATAAATTTAATCAATCTTTCCACCCCTTATAATTGTATATTGCCAATAAACAAGAATCTGTTTATTTATTACAGTTAATATATTGTAAATAGTGTCCCTGGTTGATTGTCGTGACTAGTGTAGACCATGCTCAGATAAACAAGAATGAAATACTCACATCCCCCGCCAATATGACATGTCAGGTGTGTGCAATGCATAGCTCCTGTGAACTATGTTCACTGGGCCTTTTTGTAAAGAAATATAGTACGTTTTTCAAGATCTGCTCCGGAAACGAGGACTACCTCCATGGAAACTCGAAAAATACATTTTGAAATAAATTCAAAACTATCCAAAGGCACCAGTTCACCACTAGACCTATCAATGTGCAAAATATTGTGAAGAAATATGGTACGGTTTTCAAGATCTGCTCCGGAAATGAAATGTGACGGACGGACGGAAGGACGGCACCCATTCCTATATCCCCCTTCCACTTCGTGGCGGGGGATAATAATCATGTCAGACAATCCAGTGACTAATATTGTGAGCATTGATCCACAACATTGGGGTACCACGACACGCTATCAACCAAGTCAAAAAGCTTGAATACCTGATCCATTTGGTTGCCACATACAATAAGCATAGGTTACAGTGGCCATATTCTAACCCGGAATCCCCACCAGGTGAATAATTCAAGCTTACTTTTACACTCGTCAATTATGCATGACGATGTGAAATATGAACATAGTGACACTTCTTAAACAAAATAAAACACTTTCGGTATGAAAACTTAAAAAATTGAGCTTATTATTAATTGTTTACTGCTGCCTTAATTCAGTATTTAACTTATGATATGAATTTAATGCTTAAATGATCATGAATATTCATGTGGTTTATTCCATTACACATACAAGGGGGTTTGGATGCTGACAGTTTCCAGGTTAAAAACATCAGTTGGTATTTTAATTAATTCAAACTGATTGCTTAGAAATGGATTTCAAATTTATTAGTGATAGTTTTAGTGTCTGTTCAAGACAAGTTCTCCACCTCATAGGGCTTTTATCTCATAACTTAAAAACAAAGGGGGGGGGGAAGAATTTAGTTCCGCGTATTCCAACTAAACTGCAGAGTCCTACCTCAGCAAAGGAAAACTGAAAAAAACTAAAGGTTATTTGAACAAGTTCACTGTTCTCCCGAACCACATATAAGAAAGTTTCAATACTTCATTAAAATGAGTCCTTTGGAGTCCTCTTAGTACTTCATAGCCATGAAGCTACCCGCCTCTCCTTATCAATACAGACTTCCATTAGATTATACATTATATTAAACAAAGCCCCTCAAAGTAGCATGGAAACAGCCATACACCATGTACAGGTGACGTGTACAGCTTTGTGAACACCTTGTATGATACTGACAAGTTGAAAGATGAAGATTAACAGCAAAATATTTTCGTATTGTAAACATCACGTACACATGGCGGAAAAAGTCAAGTACTGCTTACTGTACAGAACAAAAAAGTAAGGGTTTATAAATATTTTTTGTAGTGAAGACTGAGCACACAAATACATATATTTCCACATAAAATACTCATACAAGATACATATTTTGTAACTCTTCAATGGCAATAGGGTTTTTTAGTGTGAAATGGTACAGCAAGGTCTCAATATGATATGTATCACAATACATAGGTCTCAATATGATACGTATCACAATGCATAGGTCACAATATGATAGGTATCACAATACATAGGTCTCAATATGATACGTATCACAATGCATAGGTCACAATATGATACGTATCACAATACATAGGTCACAATATGATACGCATCACAATACACAGGTCTCAATATGATACGTATCACAATACATAGGTCACAATATGATACGTATCACAATACATAGGTCATAATATGATACGTATCACAATACCCATATGCACCTCAATCGCTTGGAAACTACAAGAAAATAAATATTTCAGAGCTGGTTTATGAATCGTCATGCATCATACTGTTAGAAGTTGGACTTATTATAAGTACAGCCTTGGAGCAAGGCTATTCTTGTACCCACTCCCCAAGATGTTTCACTGGTATCACAGGCCTATATATAGGTCCGTGATAGTATGTTAGACATTTGTCAAAATGAGATCAATATCACACATAGTAAGGATAAGATATATGGATGAACAACTTCTTTATTACAATTAGGAGCAACGTTTCAGAGTAGGTTCTAACACTGTTATCAAGCAAATGTAGTACCCACACCTAAAAGTTGCTCCTAATTGAAATAAAGAAGTTGTTCATCCACATATCTTATCCTTACTTAGTACTCCAACTTCTAAATGCCTTCAAAGAAATATCATTCATAGATGTTTCCAAAACATACATGAAGGTGGTGCTTAACTTTTTTCCAGGTGTAAACAAGGAATATAATTTGCATGATGATAATTATGAAGGTTATAATATGTTTATCATATAATGTTATTCTTGAAATAATGAAGTTACCACGGTTAAAGATTGCATTACTAAGTAACTGTATCTAAACTGCACAGGAATACAATGCCTGAGTGAACAGCTCTACCATATTTATTACACACTGCCAAATGATTTGATAAGGAAACCTCTATCTCAATAGTTTGGAAACGTGAAGGCAGCACTTTTATCAAATAAGTAGGCATTGCGTTGATGTATGGAGCTTATAAAAAGTAGTTCTTGAAGGTGACCTTGTTTGCATCGTCATTGAATTGTGATAACAAGTTTTCAGATTGGTATATCTCATTGATTAAAAACTTTCGTTATATGATTAGATATACATGGTCCTTGTGTGAAGGAAGTTAACGCCTATGTATCACACTCAGTGAGTGAGTGAGTGAGTGAGTGAGTATGGTTTTATGCCGCTTTTAGCAATATTCCAGCAATATCACGGCGGGGGACACCACAAATGGGCTTCACACATTGTACCCATGTTGGGAATCGCAACCGGGTCTTCGGCGTGACGAGCGAACGCTTTAACCACTAGGCTACCCGACCACGCCATCCCACTCAGTATCACATCATCCTTGTCACTGCTTCAGTACCCACTATAAACATGTTATGTGATAATAATTACATTGTTAAAACAGTGAACCGCCCTGAGTCACAGGTATGGATTATCTGGATTACACACACGAGAGAATTCCCTGACAAAAATTGTTTCATTGTGAATTTGCCAGAAAGCCATCGTCTTATTAAAATCAACATTTACGCATTAAATACTTACAATACACTCCGAGTCTACAAAAAGCATAAAACCTAAAGGTGTTTTACAAATGCAGCACACTTTAATGACACAAACATGATACACCCTCAGAGAAGAAACAGGTCAAGGGTGGTTATCTGCCCCTTACACTTAGAGTGGCCTCCCTTTCCTTAATGTACACCAGCTCTACACACAATGACCATTTGGATTAAAGGTAAATTGAGTCATATGAAAGATCATACAAAAACCTTTCAAGGGTCACAAAAAGTTTCATTGGGCGCAAGTCACGCTATTCGCCTGTCAAGCGGGTTTGACCATAGCAGCACTGGCTAGAGAATGAGTTTGACAGTATTTTGGTTTGTTTGTTGTTTAACGCCGCACTCAGCAATATTCCAGCCTAGAAAATCTGAGTTATTTTAGTAAGCTGAACAATTTGAAGTTTACCACAACATAAAGTTCACTTTATTACTGAACATGAACATATTATTTTTGGCATCGAATCCTACCTCTCTGTGTAGGGGTAAGTGCATGGGAAGGAATGTATCACCTTTTAGAACGCTGCTTAGAAAACTAAATCATTAATGGCATGGCAGTTTATGACGGATGAATGTCAATGTTAACTAACTCGGTGAAACCCACAAGCTCAGCATGACACTGACAAAACCATGGATGATAATCAGGTCGATTCTGAGGTTAGAAACCTCAATCACTGGATCCTGGCAGGTAAGAAATTATTTCAGAACAGTGACCTGCTGTAACATGACCACCCTGACCCACAATGGACACAGTATGCAATGTCTGTTGACCAGGAACTGCTGACGCGCGGGTCTTCAATACTGACCAGGTGCATGGTAAAAGCTAAGATGGACAACATTCAATGCAATTATACAACACTACAGAATAAGCATCAAATAGGCACAAGTGAAATTTCTCCAAATTTGAGAAGTACCTTTTTAATTTACTCCCATGAAATCAACTAATATTTACACATTGTACGTTTGAATTCTTTTTAATCTTCCTTAAATGCAAAATGAAATTCATATATTGCTGAAATCACATCTAATGAGTAAATAAGTAAAAAAAAGTTCTTTTTTAAAACATATAAAATAGTCCAATGAACTACTGACAGAATCTAATTCCTGTTACTAGTGTATTAACTAAGAATAATGCCACAGTTAGCCAATAAAATATGTTACTGTTTTTGCAAAAAGACTAAACTACGACATTCTCGTTAACATGCTAACCTGCCACTGTTGGTCAGTTTTCGGATGGGCAGTTACCATGGTTACACAGTTAATTCATTCATCTTCACAAATTCACAAACATTTCTTCTTGGAATGCTGACAATAAGTTTCACATCTGGTAAACTTGACACAACTGTCTGACTATCATTCTATAAGTTGGTGAGTAATACAGAAAACATACAACTTTATGAAAAACTACTTCTGGTTCATTGCATTTAGTGACGTTTCAATGTAGAATCTTACACCGTTTCCAAGCTGAAGTGGTTGGTTTGTTGTTTAACGCCGCACTCAGAAATATTCCAGCTATATGACGGCGGTCTGTAAATAATCGAGTCTGGACCAGACAATCCAGTGATTGACATCATGAGCATCGATCCACGCAATTGGGATCGATGACATGTATCAACCAAGTCAGCGAGCCTGACCACCCGATCCCGTTAGTCGCCTTTTACGACAAGCATGGGTTGCTGAAGACCTATTCTACCCCGGAATCTTCACGGGTCCTAGCTGAAGTGACTACACAGATATCTATTAGCTACGTGCAGTCTCGTACCTGTTGTTGTTCATGTTAATCTGCTTATCACAGCACATGATGTATGTAACCTCTCACTGCTTGGGTGTAGTCACTCCAGCTTCATAAAGGTGTGAGAATCACTTAATGTACTAGACCAGAAGTTGTTATCCATTGAGTTGTATTTATTCTTAATGATACCATTTATTCGGTGTGACTTGTCAAATATCAGATCTCAATGTTGCATACTATTCACAAGGTCAAGGCCCTTTAATGCCAGAATCTTTCCGTGTCAAGTCCACGTAACCAACAAAGTCAAGGTTATGACTCTCAGTGAAGGTAAAAAAAATCTGAAGTGCAAGGTCATATGACACTGAAGACAAGGTCTTGTGACTAAATGTCAAGGCTGTGACTTTCAGCCTCTGAGTTTCTCCTTTCTCACAGTCTCTCGTTCTCTCTTTCTTCCACGGCAGTATCGTCTTCAGTATATCTATGCTTACGTTCCGCATCTTGGTCACCAACCACACGTCGGAAATAGAAAATCGTCAACACCAAACCTGAAATCTGCAAAGCAAATCTAATATTACACAAATGGCATTAAGAACCTTCAGCATGTATTATAATTTTAAACTATACACGATCTTCATAGCCGAGTGAGTGAGTCGGGATTAATGCTGTTGTGAACAGTTTTTCAATATGGTAGTTGGGGGCACGGGTGGCCCTGTCGTCTAAGGAGCAGCGATTCCCTGTGCAGAGTTGCGCCCATTGGGCATGCCAGAAACCTATGATTGTGGGTTCGAATCCCCGTTCGCCCCGATTATGTTTCTAGGTTTGTCAGCACCTTACCCGTGCTCGTGGGTTTCACCGAAGTGGTAAACGTCTGACACCTGCATCACTTCGTGCTTTCCTCCCACATTAAGGTGACACGCCGCGATATAACTGGAATAATGTTAAAAGCGGCGTTAAACCCAACTCACTCACTCACCCAATATGGCAGTGTTTCAGATACATGACTGCCTAACCATCAGAGATGGTTTTTCGATTCAAAAGCTTTTTTTTGTCGAACCGATAACCCCTGAAAGCAGGCCACATCAGGAGAACGTCTTAAGCAGCACGATCAACAAGCCTGTGTGTAGGTTTCTAATTTCTCAGTATGCAAAGAATTCAGAGCAAACATATCAGACTTCACCTCAAAAATGGACATAAATGACCAGTTCCAAATGTTGGATAATAATATCCATGTGATGAAGTGAGTATTTAAATACCCCATCATTTCAATTACGTCTTTCAATCAACGACCTAATATTTTGTGATGCAAGTCTCAGACATTGACCATTTTGGTGAAACCCACACGCGCCAATATAAGGCTGACAAACCTATACCTTTTCATCCCTTTGCGTGATATCATAGCACTGTATGGAATAATCAATGAAATATTGCTACACCTTAAAGGAATTGAGGTAAATATGCCATTTCATCATGAACTAAAACAAACTTCCTATGTTGGTACCCTGGAATGATGACAATATAATATACACGTCAATGATGCAGCTCTGAGACGTGTGCAAGGTACTCGCCCGATACAAGGTCCTACGACTTACCATAGAGATGGAGAAGACAAAGCCAATGGCCATTAGTATCCCAGAGTGGTCCTGCAGAAAGGTCTTCGCACTGGAATAGCACCCCTGAAACATTTCCTAAACTTAATTCTTGTGCATATTCATTTAAGCTACAAATAAATTTTACTCAGTTTCGTTCCTAAAAAGAAACTCTCAGTCATAATCCACCCCATCCTGTCTCATCCCCATTAAACCACACACACACTGGCCCCTATCCACAACCATGCACCCACACCCTGGCCCCATCCACCCACACCCTGCCCCCATCCACCATAACCATCCACCCACACCCTGGCCCCCATCCACCATAACCATCCACCATAACCATCCACCAACACCCTGCCCCCATCCACCCACACCCTGGCCCCCATCCACCATAACCATCCACCAACACCCTGCCCCCATCCACCATAACCATCCACCCACACCCTGGCCCCCATCCAACACAACCATCCACCCACACCCTGCCCCATCCACCACAACCATCCAACCACACCCTGGCCCCCATCCAACACAACCATCCACCCAAACCCTGGTCCCATCCAAAACAACCATCCACCCACACCTTGGCCCCCATCCACCACAACCATCCACCCACACCCTGGCCCCATCCACCCACACCCTGGCCCCCATCCATCCACCCATACCCTGGCCCCCATCCACCACAACCATCCACCCACACCCTGGCCCCCATCCACCACAACCATCCAACCACACCCTGGCCCCCATCCACCTACACCCTGGCCCCCATCCACCACAACCATCCACCCAAACCCTGGCCCCCATCCACCACAACCATGCACCAACACCCTGGCCCCATCCACCCACACCCTTGCCCCCATCCACCCACACCCTGGCCCCCATCCACCACAACCATCCACCCTCACCCTGGCCCCATCCACCCACACCCTGGCCCCCATCCACCCACACCCTGGCCCCCATCCACCACAACCATCCACCCACACCCTGGCCCCATCCACCCAAACCCTGGCCCCATCCACCACAACCATCCACCCACACCCTGGCCCCCATCCACCCACACCCTGGCCCCCATCCACCACAACCATCCACCCACACCCTGGCCCCATCCACCCAAACCCTGGCCCCATCCACCCACACCCTGGCCCCCATCCACCACAACCATCCACCCTCACCCTGGCCCCATCCACCCACACCCTGGCCCCCATCCACCACAACCATCCACCCTCACCCTGGCCCCATCCACCCACACCCTGGCCCCCATCCACCCACACCCTGGCCCCCATCCACCACAACCATCCAACCACACCCTGGCCCCCATCCACCTACACCCTGGCCCCCATCCACCCAAACCCTGGCCCCATCCACAGCAACCATCCACCCACACCTTGGCCCCCATCCACCACAACCATGCACCCACACCCTGGCCCCCATCCACCACAACCATGCACCCACACCCTGGCCCCATCCACCCTCACCCTGGCCCAATCCACCCACACCCTGGCCCCCATCCACCCACACCCTGGCCCCCATCCACCACAACCATCCACCCACACCCTGCCCCCATCCACCACAACCATCCACCCACACCCTGGCCCCATCCACCACACCCATCCACCCACACCCTGGCCCCCATCCACCTACACCCTGGCCCCCATCCACCCACACCCTGGCCCCATCCACCACAACCACCCACCCACACCCTGGCCCCCATCCACCATAACCACCCACCCACACCCTGGCCCCCATCCACCCACACCCTGGCCCCCATCCACCACGACCATCCACCCTGGCCCCATCCACCACAACCATCCACCCACACCCTGGCCCCATCCACCACAACCACCCACCCACACCCTGGCCCCCATCCACCACAACCACCCACCCACACCCTGCCCCCATCCACCATAACCATCCACCCACACCCTGGCCCCATCCACCACAACCACCCACCCACACCTTGGCCCCCATCCACCACAACCACCCACCCACACCCTGGCCCCCATCCACCCACACCCTGGCCCCATCCACCCACACCCTGGCCCCCATCCACCACGACCATCCACCACAACCAGGCCACACCCCAGCCCAACAGGTAATATGAAGATTAATTGTATTTAAGGCCTCAGTTCCATATACAAAGAGAGAGAGTTTTATATCTTAAGGCAAATATACTGACATTTAACAGACTCAACACAAATATGACTTTTTACGAGTCAACGTAGGGCATTTGTATCCATTCTCTGACAACCAAGGTTCATATGATCAATAAAATATCTATAAAAAAATTCTCTTTATGAACTACTCCTGCAGGTAAAGATGAGAAACCATGTTACTTACATTATAATACAGAAATTTGTTTCTGATGTTTGATTCTAGATTGTTGGGAGGTCCCATCCCAAAGTTCTGACACTTTGCCACGTCTGTATAATCTCCTATCCTCTCATCATAGACACAGCAGGTCTCCGGGACGTACTTCTTCCTGTTGTAGTCTGCAGGGTAGGACATCAGTAGAACATCAGTAGAACATCAGTAGAACAGGAGTATTGTTTGTTTGTTTGTTGTATAACGCCGCACTCAGCAATATTCCAGCTATATGACGGTGGTCTGGAAATAATCAAGTCTGGACAAGACAATCCAGTGATTGAAATCATGAGCATTGATCCAAGCAATTGGGATATGATGACATGCATCAACCAAGTCAGCGGGCCTGACAACCTAATCCTGTTAGTCGCCTCTTACGACAAGCATTGTTCCCTTTTACGCTGCTGTAGACCTATTCTGCCCCAGATCTTCATGGGTTCCTGAAGACCTGTTCTACCCCAGATCTTCATGGGTTGCTGACGATCTATTCTACCCATGATCTTCATGGGTTGCTGAAGACCTATTCTACCCATGATCTTCATGGGTTGCTGACGATCTATTCTACCCCGGTCCTTCAAGAGTTGCTGAAGGCCTATTCTACCCCGAATCTTCATGGGTTGCTGAAGACCTATTCTACCCCAGATCTTCATGGGTTGCTGAAGATCTATTCTACCCCTGACCTTCATGGGTTGCTGAAGATCTATTCTACCCCTGACCTTCATGGGTTGCTGAAGATCTATTCTACCCCTGACCTTCATGGGCTGCTGAAGATCTATTCTACCCCGGATCTTCATGGGTTGCTGAAGATCTATTCTACCCCTGACCTTCATGGGCTGCTGAAGACCTATTCTACCCCGGATCTTCATGGGTTGCTGAAGACCTTTTCTAACCTGGATCTTCACAGAAGTAGAATAGCATGTGGAACAGGTGACTTGGCCAAGCATTGAATGAGCAACATGGCCAACAGATAACAGTCTTTGAAATCAACAGTAAGGTTGTCGTTCCTGTTACTCACTCTGCTGTTCCGTGAAGAACGCTGTACCCCGGTAGAGTTCCCAGTCAGACCCACGCACAGCACAGCACCTCAACTGAGGAATAAATACAAGACATATTTACACATAAATATCAGCTATCAGTATTATAACAGTTTATCATTGGAGGATCACAACACCCATTATCACGCCTTCATGTCAGAATGATGAGAACTGATTGGTCCATGTGATCTTGATAAAATACTTTATCATTTAACTTAAGCATTTATCCATGACATAAGCTTATGACATAAAAACATGTATGTCATACCCCAATGACATAAGTATGCAAATTAGATATGCAAATTAGATAACCGGAAGAGCGAGCGGTTTGATTTGAAACTATATATTATAAGTGAAGTTACACCAGAGATATAATCAGATTACACAGAATCGTTGTTGTTAACGTTATTGTTACCGTTATTAAAGTTTCAATTATTCTGCAAAAGTCTGTTCAAGTATTTTGTTTAAAATAATCCGAGGAACTTTTTTTCTCAGCGAATTGTTTATTTTGGTTTACATGGCTATGGAAAACATGTATCACTACGCACGATCCATATGTAAGATTTCGACAAGTTGCAGATGTTAATGTTTAATGCAATTATTCCTTAATTTGGAAGCAAAAATGTGAAAATGATAAATAGAATTCATCACGAGTGTTTTTTAATATGGGAAATATCAACCTCGTCCCGTTAATCGGTATTTGCCTCGCCAAAGGCTCGGCAAATACCGATTAACTAAGACTCGGTTGATATTTCCCATATTAAAAAACACTCGTGATGAATCCTCTATATGTAACCCGCCTTGGAGGGAAATATATTTCTCAGCGGGAGAATAAATCCCTTATAACCAGCCATGAGCAAGACAGGCAGCACATGGATTTCTGACAGGCAGAATAAATCCCTTTTACCTGCTTCAAAGCAAAAGGTCAGACACTTTTTCCGAGTCAATGAAAGTCACATGACATGGCACAAGCTCAATTGAACATCTTTGAATTTTGAATTTGTTGTATTTTTTTCACAATGTCATACTTAAACATGTCAATAAGATAAATATGTTGTAGCAGGGTCACAAACCTCCCTTGTAAGATTTTATACCACTCGCCTCTGGCGCAAGAGGCGATTAACGGGATCAGGTGGTCAGGCCCACTGACTTTGTTGACACATGTCATCTTATCCCAATTGCGTGGATCAATGCTCATGATGTCAATCACTGGATTGTCTGATCCAGACTCGATAATTTACAGGCCGTCATCATATAGTTGGAAAATTTCTGAGCATGGCATTAAACATGTTAAACAGCAAACAAACAAAAGAAACGAACAAACAATCTGCGACTACACTCCAGGATTATTCCATATTGGCTTTTGGGAAACAAAATGGTCAACATACGTCTTTCTGTACTTTGTTCCAGGCATCAGTAGCTGCAACATTTTCACGTCCACGAGCACCATATTTCTGCTGCAGGGATTCAGCCATGGAATTCTGCATCTGCTCTTCAAGCTGTCATGGATAACGATATATATCATTACTCTGATCACAATATTGTACTACCAGGTACCCATTCTGCAACCACATCGTAAAAGGTACTGATCATGATCATGTCCTTATCTAGCATCAGCGTTCCCGTTTACCGGTAATTACCAGTATTTTACCGGTAAAATTAGGCTTGGACCGGTAATTTATGTGACTGCCAGTCCCTGTGGACCGGCAAATAAAGTGCCTTATACTTCTTTGTTGTTGAACAAAACATTGGTGATATTCATATAAATACATTTTTCGAACAAAGTCATCTTGTTTGTTACCATCAGGGTTTCCCCTCGTCTAGGTTAAATACCCAATTGTAGTGACTTTGCCTCGAAATTTGTGACTGAAGTTTGTGTGAATGACGTATAGATATAGCTAAGTTACTTCCGAGATAACATCTTTGCACTGAACATGATGTTGAAATAATTAAAACCAAATAATTTCTATACGTTTTTTTATTTGTTGAAAGTTGGGACTGGAAAAATTAGGACAAGGACTGGCAATTTTAAAAGCCATTACTTTCTGTTACTTAATGGAGTCACATATTTGACCTAAAATTTGAAATTGATCATGATTATTGAAGAAATGACTTCAGATATATCATGTCAATGCTTAATCATCCCGTCAGCCTGAAGTACATACCAATTTTCACAAAGACTATTTGACAGTTGGACATCAAAACAACAACACTGGGCTGGATTTTGGGGCATGACTTACCTCCCCTTGGAACACCGCGGCCATGATGGCACCGATAAGGAGCAGGAGGAAGATGAGGAGGAGGAGGACGAAAAACTGCAAACAAAAAATATATTGTTAGATTATTATTTCCGGAATGTTCGTTTGTTCAGTTTTCAAAATTATTATCAAGAACTGTGTCAACATATTTACCAAGCGTAGTCTGAAATGGAAGTCGCCAGGTTGAAACAAGTGCTGTAAAGCTCAAGAAAGCTGCTTTCTTATTGGCTGATGTCGACTTCTTGTTAGTCATTTCAGTGGTCAGTCAAAGATCGCGAAAGGTCGTTCTGACGTGACCCGTAGTAGGATGTCCTCAGATCTTTGTTTAGCGGCAGCAAGAACTTAGTTATGATTTTAATGAGATTGAAATACTTTTCTTATTACGTTTTTCGGCAACCAACAATGTCTACTAATCAGTGCATCGTTGAGTGACAATTAGGAGCTGTGTGTAGTGTCCATGAAGACGGTGTTGACGAGATTGCACCTTCTTTATCCTCACAATGTGAAGTTTTTGTACAGCTACAAACCTCTCTACTAATAGGGGCAGTGAGATAGCTCAGTGGTTAAAGCCTACGCTTATCATGCCAAAGACCTGGGTTTCGAGTCTCCACAAGGGTATAAGGTGTGGTGCCCATTTCTGGTGTCCCCTGTCGTGATATTGCAAAAATCATACTCCCTCTCTCTATACCAAAACTATGCATTGAAAGAATAAGAAGTTCAAATCCTTCGGGCAACTCTGCTTCACCGACCTGGGTGTTGTTCCACAAAGCGATCTTAGCACTAAGATGATCGTAACTCCAATACTTTAACATAGGCTTACGAAAAATCTTAACGCTAAGATCACTTTGTGGTACAGGAAATAGCTTCTTCTTTTTTAAACAAGGAAGCAAACAACCTGGTTTTTCAGTCAATATCATAACCATAGTCAGAGCTCCAGAAAAGGTTTTGGTGTTGTGGGTATTTTACCCATGCATTTTAAAATCATTGGGTATCAGTAATTCTATCTGGGTATTCAAATTTCTGTTACCCACTAGTTTTTACACATGTGGGTATTTTAGTTAAATATTTAAAAACACTATACATCTAGTCCCTGCAAACTGGTTTTGTGTGGGTTCGAGAGCTTTATAGGACTCAAAAATACCACGATACTTCCACAAGAAAACGTGATGGCAAATGATCATGATGTAACTGTCATCATTGAGTTTGGCAAGGTTGACGGAATGCCCGTTTATAATTTCAAAATAAGTTGCTGATTTGCTAATCGAATACACATAGTTACTTCACAATATTTTGATGATACGCACAAGTTTTATTTTTGTTGCGTATCTGTAATGTTCGTTGCGTATTTGATACGCTTGGATTTTATTTAACTGCGTATTTCTGCATTTCTGATGCATATTTTACGCAGATACGCAGCTTATCTGGAGCTCTGCATAGTAAAGGGCCATGCTTAAATCTGAAACATTACCACAATGAGTAAGATCCTGTTTTGCCGAGCGGTGGCCACAAGGCCCACGATGGCGCTGGCGACCACTACAATGCCACCGATGAGCAGGAAGTAGGACGCCACGGTGATCAGATCTGAGCCGATGATGTGAGACAGGAAGATCTTATCTGCGATGCTCCATATTGAAACAGCAATTATAGCAATGCCAGCAATCTGAAACAGGGAAAGCCAACATTCATATTGTCCCTGTGTACGTGTAGGGCAGATTAATGTCAGAGGAAAGTTATGTAGGTCCAGGCAAAGTGAAGGAGCTGAGTGAGTGGCTGTCTGTGTGAGTGAGTGGTTGTCTGAATGAGTGGTTGTCTGAAGGAGTGAGTGGTTGTCTGAATGGGTGGGTGGTTGTATGAGGTCAGAGTGAGTGGTTGTCTGAATGAGTGGCTGTCTGTGTGAGTGAGTGGTTGTCTGAATGGGTGGGTGGTTGTATGAGTGAGTGGTTGTCTGAATGAGTGGCTGTCTGTGTGAGTGAGTGGTTGTCTGAATGAGTGGGTGGTTGTATGAGTGGGCGGTTGTCTGTGTGAGTGAGTGGTTGTCTGAATGAGTGTGTGGTTGTATGAGTGGGCGGTTGTCTGATTGGGTGGTTGTATGAGTGTGTGGTTGTCTGATTGGGTGGTTGTATGATTGGGTGGTTGTATGAGTGGGTGGTTGTATGAGTGGGTGGTTGTAAGAGTGAGTGAGTGAGTGTCTGAGTCAGTAGTTGTCTGGGTGAGATTGGTTGAGTGGGTGGTTGTAAGAGTGAGTGAGTGAGTGTCTGAGTCAGTAGTTGTCTGAGTGAGATTGGTTGAGTGGCTGGTTGTAAGAGTGAGTGAGTGAGTGTCTGAGTCAGTTGTTGTCTGGGTGACATTGGTTGTCTGACTGAGTGAGAGTTTGACTGAATGAGTGAGTTGTTTATCAACTCTGATAATGATGTATTAATTCAATATTTTCAACTCTATAAAGGAACAAGAGGCCCATAGGGCCTGTATCACTCACCTGGATATTTCCGCAATCATGACAAAATATACATTTGCATTGTACATGTATATAATACTGCAAATATTTCGTAATTTTGACTGTCAGCATATAAAAGGGGTGGATGGCAAATCTGACTGCATGAACATGTATTTCTCTAGATACAAATGTAGCATATTAGATCTGAACCATTTCCATGTTATGATCCAGGATCTAAGTTTCAAGATGCAAGGCTGGACCCCAGGACGAAGACTATTGGCATAAATGTATTATTCTCCTCATAACAAACAAATGTATACAATGTATCTGTTTATTACAGGGTGGGGATAATATCGGTTTGCATGTTATGGTCAAGGTTCTAACTCCTTTGGGAGAGCCAGACAGATGAACAGAAGGGCCAGTCCTGGTAGCATATGTGCATTCCTCTCATTATACTCAGCAATTAAACATATGGTTATACAGTGGGGATGTTAATTATGTCCAAGTCATAAACTCTTCTTGGCCCCGCCCCTCAGCCCCTGGGAATACTTCCAACCAAATATGGTTGATGTCTATCTCTTAGTTCCAGAGAACACGTCGTTTAAAGCAATATTGCCAAATTACCCTTTTTAGCCCTGCCCCTCAGTCCCTTGGGGGGTGATCAGCCCTTCCATTTGTACAATTTTTAATTCTTGACACAGGAGAATGCTTCCAACCATATATGGTTGATATCTATCTCTTACTTCCAGAGAAGAAGTCATTTAAAGCAATATAGCCAAATTACCCCTATTTGGCCCTGACCCTATTTGGCCCTGACCCTTGGGGGGTCAGCCCCCCCCCCCCCCCCCCCCCCCCATTTTCATAATTTTGAATCCTCACCTCCAGAGAATGCTTCCAACCAAATATGGTTGATATCTATCTCTAAGTTCCAGAGAAGCAGTCGCTTTAAGCAATATAGCCAAATTACCCCTATTTGGCCCCGCTCCTAGCCCCTTGGGAGGTCAGCCCCACGATTTGTACAATTTTGAATCCCCACCACCTAGGGATGCTCCAGTCAAATTTCATTGATTTCCATTTAGTGGTTCAGAAGAGGAAGTCATTTGAATGAATTGTTGATGGACGGACGACGGACGCCACGGTATGGCATAAGCTCACCTTGGTCCAAAGGACCAGGTGAGCTTCAAATGAACCATGAAGTTCACAGTTTCCAAAGTATAAAAACATCGAATCTCAACGCAAAAAATCTCACTGCTCTATCTCCAGGTGACAGTGGTGACGCTCAGTTGTGAAAACTGCTTGACGTCAAGTGGTAAGTCACGATTTTCAGAGTTTGTTTACACTGTGCACTCCTTGATGCTACTTCATGTAACATGAGCAGGAAACTCCTTACATTACAGCAATGATTCAACATCAATTTATGCGTCAACACAGCTGCCACAACCATGACAACAAGGCCGGACGGAATATTTTCCATAAATCTTGAACATGTCAAATTATTTATTGCATGAACCGTATTTGTCATATTAAACGCGCTGCTCCAAAAGTGCTCCCTGGCCAACATTTATACAAATCTGAAAGCGCTAGACTAAAAATTTCTTGTGACCATTTCATACTTTTTACCTAAAAAAGTTTTGGGTTTGTTTTTTGTTTTTTGTTGTTTAACCTGCATTCCACAATATTCCAGCTATATGACGCCGTCTGTAAATAATTGAGTCTGGACCAGATTATCCAGTGATTGACATTTTGAGCATTGATCTACACAATTGGGATATGATGATTTGCATCAACCAAGTCAGCGAGTCTGACCACTTGTTCCCACGAGCCACCTCTTATGACAAGCATAGTCACCTTTTTTTCGGCATGGGTTGCTGAAGACCTATTTTACCTCGGATGTCCACGGGTCACAGAAAACAGGTCACAGGTATATTATAAGGTATATAATCAGGTATCGTATATGACCGTATATAAGCCAAATTTTGAGGACCAGAAAAAAGATTCTGTACAAAGGGGTCGGCTTATGTATGGGTTGCACTTTCATCAAACTCTTTTTTCTGTCGGTTAAAAACTACATCGTATCAATTTAGGTGAATAAACAACGCTATAACAAACTTTGTCAATGAAAATGTGATATTTGCAATTAAACATCACTAGACATGATGATTTACCATTTTGATTGTATTTCTTGCTATGCTAGGCATTGTTTTATATGCAGGTGATAAAGATTACCAAGCGTATTGTCTCATAAATGAAGCCGGAAATAGACCAATCTCATTCAAATCATATCTTAGTTCTCGCTACCGCTAAACAAAGATCTGAGGGCATTCCATTAGGGGTCACGTCAGAACGACCTTTCATCCGACCAATCAGAGCGTCGCTTACCAGATCATGAAAGTGAAAGTCGGAATGTGATTTCTAATCATGCAGCCTTGATAACTTTAAAACGGGGTATTCCAAAACGATAATTATGGGCTAAACGACTGAATCCATACAATCTAGACCATATATTAGCCATTTGAGAATGTTCTTTTGTTCAGGTTTCAAATTTTTAAGCGAGAATTTGTCAAAATATGTTTCAAAGCGTAGTCGCCAATTTGAAATTAGTGCCATAAACCACAAGAAAGCTGCCTTCTGATTGGCTAATGTCGACTTATTGTCAGCAATTCCAATGGTCGGTCAGAGTTGGCGAAAGGTCGGTCTGACGTGACCTGTAATGGGATGTCCTCAGATCTTTGTTTCGCGGCAGCGAGAACTAAGATCTGATTTTAATGAGCTTGGAAATAGACATCAGCTGTACACACGTGTTCTCCCAATCTACCGGTGATTACGTTAAAACATACCCAATATGACGGAAAAGAATTTTGATGCAATGTTCAGAAAAAATAGTATCTTAAATTTCTATTTTACCACGGATAATATATTGTGATGTCATATTATTTCAATTGCAGATTATACTCTGTATCTTCAAGTGAGTGAGTGAGTATGGTTTTACGTCCCTTTTAGCAATATTCCAGCAATATCACGTCGGGGAACACCAGAAATGGGCTTCACACATTGTACCCATGTGGGGAATCGAACCTGGGTCTTCAGCGTGACAAGCGAACGCTTTAACCACTAGGCTACCCGACCACCCCTCTGTATCTTCAAAATAATGATAGCCATAACCAGGGTTATGCAGCAGCACTTTTTGTTGGGTAATGTTTTCACACGGAACAATTTGACAAATCACCATTGAGATTTTGCACGATCTCGCTATTTCCATTGCAATGTCTTATGTTGACATTTAATCGTCAAACTACAACAAATATTACTTTTAACGAGTCAAGGTATGGCAGTTATGATATATGTATCCATTTTCTGTGAACTAAGGTTCATTTCAAGGTGTCAGTAACGGTAATATGATCGCGGTTGCTGTAAATAACGGTGAATTGGTAGAGCGGACCTTATGGAACAGGGCAAACAGAAGTTGTAAGTGATCAGATGAACACCGAAATTAATGTAAATATTATTGAATGAAAGTTTGATTATAATTAATAAAATAGATTACATAGTTTACAAACATGAGTCCAGATATACAACTAACACTTTTCATTAACGACGGTGTAACGACAGGATTAACTAGCATAATTCAAAACGGATTTGTTGATCTACTATTTCTGATGACAGATCATGATGAGACGTAGTTTTTTAGGTTGGGGGTCCTAACATTTTGATACAGATTGGCTTATCTATGAGATCGGCTTATCTACGGTCATATATGGTATATAAACAGGCAGAAAGGGCATATAATCATGATAATTGGCTAGTAACTATTGAGGGAGAAGGCGGTAATAAGTGTTGCACTTTTGCCCAATCCCTTTGTTTTTTTGGGACAAAAAAATATGTTTAATAATAGTAACTATTCGTTAAAAAATGTTTCACCAACATATGAACAAAGTCTGTTCTTAACCACCAGATCACTGATAAACATAACATAATGTACGGTTTTAGTAAGCATGGTAAGTGTCCCACTCTGTCAATTTTCTGAGCGACCAGGGTGCTTATTACAGTGAATATGGTATGTTGTAGCCAGGAAGATTTACTGTCGGAGTTGACTTGCTGTTTGACTCACCAGAAACAATGAACAGAAGGTCATCAAGAGCAACTTCATGAAACCGGTGCTCGGACCCATGTTGGACCCGTCAGGTGCACTGTGGGTAATCTAGACTTTTACGATCACTCAGCATGGACTGCACCTACAAACAGATTACTCATGTTCAGACAAACATTATATATAGCATAAGAACACAGGATTAAGTGAGTCAGGGAGTGAGGAATTGGTAGTGTCGCCTTGAGCAGTATCTTGGGTAGATTATGAAATGTCTGCTTCATATGTAGGGAGAGGTGTTCAAATAAGCTGTGTCTTGTTTACTGATCCCAATTTTCAGTTGAAATAAAAATATGTTGAAACCATATTTAGGGATTTATCTAGGATTCCAACATAAGGGCCCTTGGCAAAGTGAGTGAGTTAGGTTTAACGCCGCTTTTAACAGTATTCCAGTTATATCACGGCGCGTCAGCTTAATGTGGGAGGAAAGCCCGAAGTGATGCAGGTCTCAGACTTCGGTGAAACCCACGAGCACAGGTATGGTGCTGACAAACCTAGAAACATAATCGGGGCGAACCGGGATTCGAACCCACAATCATAGGTTTCTGGCGTGCCCAAGGGACGCAACTCTGCACAGTGAATCGTGGCGCATTAGACGACTGGGCCACCTGTGACCCCAACCTCTTTGCAAAGATATTAGGGGGGAAACTTTTATTTCTTTAAAAATTGGGATGTTTTTAAAGTCCCCATATTCTTACATTCAGAGGTCATAGTCCTTTCAATGATATAAAACTAATCATTAAAGCCCCTCCCACTTAACTGTCCTGATATCCATGAAATACAAGTTGACCTGACCAAGCCATAACATTAAATATAACAAACATATTTATTAACATGATTTGGGAATGTTTTCATTCCACAGTTCCAATTTGGGAATGTTTACTGACATTTGCTGCAGACTATAGCTAAATACTGGCCTATGAGCAAGTCTAGATATATCACTGATTTTGCTTGTTTGTTTGTGGCTTAACACACTCAGTCTGGACAAGACAACCCAGTGATTGATATAATGAGCAAAGATCAAAGCATGTTTGTTTGTTGTTTAACGCCACCTCAGAAATATTCCAGGTATATGACGGTGGTCTGGAAATAATTTAGTCTGAACCAGACAATCCAGTGATTGACATCATGAGCATCAATCCACACAATTGGGATTCGATGACATGCATCAACCAAGTCAGCAAGCCTGACCGCCCGATCACGATAGTCGCCTCTTGCGACAAGCAGTCGCCTTTTACAGCAAGCATGGGAGCATGGGTTGCTGAAGACCTATTCTACCCCGGATCTTCACGGGTCAGATCAAAGCAATTGACAAACAATGACATGCAGTCACACAAACTCTGCAACCAGTATAGGTTGCTAAGTACCCACCCATCTGACCTGGTAAACCACACAGCAGTGCTATTAATGATTACGTTTCTCTATCCTGATTTCAGCCAGGTACATTTCTATCTCCAATACAGTAGCCATGGTAACAGGGTATGACAAGGGCACATCACATGTTCAGCTACACTAACAATGCTACTAAAAGAATAAACCTGTCACTATTTGTCCTGCAGAACTGTAATTTACAGGTAACAGTAAAACTCTCTGAGGATATCGTAAACGATACCATGATATCTCCTCAAACACAATGTTAGCCTGACATAGAAGGAAAGTTGATTAAAGGTTATCTCCACAGCAATCTTGGTACACATCCTCAGCATGTGTAATCTCATGGAGTACAATGAGACTGCATGTTTTATATCTGTGTTTCTGTTGATCATAATTCTAATGCCGCCCTGATGAAAAATGGGAAAAGACAACCTCAAAATAAGGATAACAAAAAGTTCTGTTCAAAAATTGACAGCAATATTTTTTGCATTTAAGGAAGCATGAGTGAGTGAGTGAGTGAGTGAGTGAGTGAGTGAGTGAGTGAGTGAGTGAGTGAGTGAGTGAGTGAGTGGGTGAGTGAGTGAGTGAGTGAGTGAGTGAGTGAGTGAGTTTGATTTTACAAGATTTTACAAGATTTAGAAATATTCCGGCAATATCACAGCGGGGGACAACAGAAATAGGCTTCACACATATAACCCGAGTCTTCAGCGTGACAACAAATGTTCTAACCACTAGGCTACCCGACCACCCCATGAATGCAGAAACTTGTGGGCACCCTTTGCACATATCTGCATACAAGATATATATATGCAAATGTGCACACCGTTTCGTACGTTTATCATGTGTTTTTAATGCCATAAACATAAAAGCATAGTCTGTCTTACAGACCCTGATACAAATATATATCAAATACAGCCCATGCAAGTCTATAATGTTTGGCAAGTCTAGATCACTGCAGTATCTGAAAATGAAGAGAGTCACTGGGCTCCTTTTTATTATATTTTATTAAGATAACTGAACAACTGTTTTTTTATGTACGATATGTTCATTTCAGAGACTAGATGTTAGTCTAACAAAAGCAATTTGAAACCACTTATGACAAATATGTCAACATTCACTGATAAATAGTACTTTCTGACTGCTTATTTTATCATCAACAACAAAAATAGACAACAATATGAAATCAGGGCCCTCATTCAACACAATAATCAATGTTTAAATATCAGCCAAAAAGGAAACAGCAGTCTGATGGTGGACACGGGTATGGTGCTGACAAACCTAGAAACATAATCTGGGCAAACTGGGTTTCATAGGTTTCTGGTGCGCCCAAGGGACGTAACTCTGCACAGCGAATCATGGCACCTTAGACTTGGCCACCCATGCCAATATACATAAATAGTAACATATCCCAATTTAAACCAACGGTCATAGGTTTCTGGTACATCAAAGGGATGCAACTCTACACAGCAAGCTGTAGTGCCTCAGTAAATTTGATAAACGACTAATTAAACTAAAAAGATTTGCCCAAGAAAAGAATGAAAACACTGTGAACACTTATAGAATGACACTGAGGAAACTCATACAGGAGTGAGTGAGTTAACGCCGCTTTTAACAGTATTCCAGTTATAACACGGCGTGTCAGCTTAATGTGGGAGGAAAGCCCAAAGTAATGTGAGTCTCAGACGTTTACCACTTCGGTGAAACCCACGAGCACAGGTATGGTGCTGACAAACCTAGAAACATAATCGGAGCAAACCGGGTACAAACACACAATCATAGGTTTCTGGCGTGCCCAAGGGACGCAACTCTGCACAGTGAATCGCGGTGCCTCAGACAACTGGGCCACCCGTACCTCCCTCTTCCTTTTATCATGTTTCTTATGATTATATTGGTCCTGTTTGCAGTGAAAAAGAAGTCACCTCTGCAAAGCCACAACATTATTTATTGCTTTATTAACATTGGGAAATTATCATTGACATTTGCTTCTGTCATGTCTGTTTGTTTGTTTGTTTGTTATTTTACGCCACACTCAGCAATAATCCAGCTATATGACGGTGGTCTTTAAATAATCTAGTCTGGACCAGACAATCCAGTGATTGATATCATGAGCATCGATCCACGCAATTGGGATCGATGACATGCTTCAACCAAGTCAGCGAGTCTGAGCACCCGATCCCATTAGTCGCCTTATACTACAAGCATAGTCACCTTTTACGGCAAGCTTGTGATGCTGAAGAGAAATAAAATCAATAACTCATTTTAAAAAATGCCTCAAAAGTAATGTTGTATTCTATACCTTCAACCTTTCATTGCCATGACATCTATTATTCGACGTAATAAGCGCCCAGGGCGCTCGCAAAAGTAGAAATAAGGGGCTCTTATTAGAATGGTATTTTGGTGAATAAAAAACAGAGTTGAAAGATAAATTTCATGGTTTATGCTGACAGCCTGAAATGTTTATATATACGCCAGATATATTTTTCCAGAATTTAATTGCCCATACTTAAGGGTGCATATAACACACGAGTGCATATTAGACACGAATAAATAAGTCTTGTGTACATTGATCAATCGGAAGGGTGCTAATTGGGATTGTTCACAAGCCAATATATTAATAAATATCGCCGTGGGTGCTTATTAGGGCCGGGCGCTTATTACGTCGAATACGGTATATGCTAATTTATGAACATTCACCATAATTTAATAACACAAAAAAACAAGATAGACTTTTACATTGGGCCTCACTTAACAACTCAACATTCGCAAATTGACAGACTTTGACTCACTAACCATTCTAAATAACAGGACACAACATGAGAGAAAATCATTGTCACAACAGGGTTTCAGCATCCAGGATATCCTGGTATTAGAGTATTATCCAAAACACATACCAAGGGGCTTTTCATTATAACAAAAAGAGTGAATGATGGGTAAGGTGGAAGGGTGGGTGTGGTTGATGAAACTCCCAAATTTTAGGAGTTCAATGCTACCCAGGGTGAAACCAGTGGCAGTATTGATACTGGTATGAATAAGTTTAAAAACTGTTTGAGTATATGATTTGATAATATTGGTTAGCCATTAAACATCTTACATCAAATAACCGCAATGTAATATATATTATATTGTAACATTACTGATTACAGACAATAAATACTTAGGCACATGTATAGTGATATTACAAAACAGTAGGATGCTGTAAAAACTCCCCAAAAGTTACCTGTGACTGTTAGTCATCATACCATAAATAGCTGATAAGCGTCATTGTACCGGTATTTGCTTCCACGCTCGTTACCATATCAATAAGGCACATTTGACACACAATTTAAAGTTTGATATCAACTATCTTAAACTATCTGGAACTGACAATGTTTTGATCGTCCCCACTGACTGGCTCCGTAAGTCATGGCTTTGCATACCTGGCCGCCATTTTTACCGGGACAGGTGACTTGTCACTCATTTTCGTTAGTACAGGTGTGCATGTTTTTTCCAGAATACTCGCATTAAAAAAGCCGGTCATCTCCGATGGCCCGTCATATTAACACTTACACTTTAAACTCGGTGCCTTTCTTTCTTTGTTTAACCTACTGTTAAATGTTACTATCAGATCAACTTACCTTCCCGCTTCGCTTTATAGTCTGAACTCTCAGGTGTGTAAGTTAGAATGGGCCGAAATGCGGAAGTCGCTGTGGAAAGTTCAAGGAAACACTCTTTTGGTCGCGAATCAGCAATGGGAGTCCACGTGTATTGTCGACACACCTGCAATTATAGACAAATGTGCACGCACAGTTATTTATGACACTGACATGACTAATGATCTATTCTTCCCTGTGACGCATGTAATCCACATAGGGCTTTGAATTTGAATTGTTTTATATATTTCAGGTATTTATCTAGACCTTCCAGCGGCCAATATTTGGCCCCTTGCCTGCAGCAAATGTCAGTAAAAATTTCTAAACTGGAATTAAAAAGTTCCAACTTCATTGTTCATGCAAATATAGTTTTAACCATGATCACTATGGTTTGCTATGACTTCGTAGAGATAACTTGTACTTCACTTATAACAGGGCCAATAAACAAGAATAAATATATATAGGAAGCAGCTGCAATGCATAGTTTTACATATTGCATTGAATATGATGTTAAAACACCTCTAATTTGAAGAAAATAAAAACTGACAGATTTTTCTGGCAAGAGCACATAGTTTGGAATCCCATATAAAACCATATCATTGTGTAACGCCCCTAAAATGGGGTTAATGTCACATCCAAGATTTATTGTACTTATATAGTGACGTGCATGCACGTGTATGTGTGTGTGGCTGCTTGTACTAGTCCGGATTTCATAGTGCTAGCCTACTGAGATACCATGCCGCAGTTTAAAATGAATACCCCACTCAGACACAGAAAACTGACTCCGAGCCGACCAGTCCTTGTTTAAGCCCTTTAATGCCGAGCACCAGACAGGGTAACAACAAGTACCATCTTTTAACGTCTTTTGGTATGACGCGGCCAGGGATCAAACCCCAGACCTTCCACTCTCTGGGCGGACGCTCTACCACTAGACCACGGAGGCAGTCCTCAAAGAAAGAACCAACTGGCAACCATTATGCAAATGGTGATGACAGCATTTTTGCTGTGGACATGGTGGAGGACGTCCTACACCACCAGGAGGAAGCCCTCTAGTGGGATCCAGCCACTCCAGCATTATTGACAGAAGTGTGTGGACCGTGGGGGGGGGGGGGGGGGGGGAGATATTGAACAATAATTAGGTACCACCTCCATCAACACCGACTATCATAGTTTAACTCTTCAGCCATTCCTCATATGTATGTAGATTGCCTCTGGAGGCTTTCCATTTGTTATTAATTGGTTGACAGATTGCCAACTCAAGAAATGAGTTATATGGAGGAAAACACTCCTACCTGAAGGGTTTTTCTTATCAATAAGCCCAACATAAATTGTTTACATGTCTGACACATACTCAAAAGAACCAGACCAAGAAGTAGACACAGCAAATATCGATCACATCTTGACTTTTACTCCAAGCAGAGTTTACCTCTGTTCTTATGCAAAACTTGAACATTCTGTATAAATGACAAACTAAAACGTAAGAGAATTCGACATTTTATCCTTTCTGCATCATACCGGCCCTATATTGTATATTTTGCAAAAATATTTGAAGGGTTTTATTGCATACTGATATTGAACCAAGGTTTTGAGAAATAAAATCAATAACTCATTTTCAAAAATGCCTCAAAACTAATGTTCTATTTTATACCTTCAACCTTGATGCTATAAGATCTATATTGCTAATCTATGCAACATTCACCATAATTTAATAACACACAAAAAAAAGATAGACTTTTACATTGGGCCTCACTAAGCAACTCAACATTCGCAAATTGACAGACTTGGACTCACTGACCATTCTAAATAACAGGACACAACATGAGCATGATGAGAGAAAATCATTGTCACAACCGGGTTTCAGCGTCCAGGATATCCTGGTATTAGAGTATTATCCAAAACACATACCAAGGGGCTTTTCATTATAACAAAAAGAGTGAGTGATGGGTAAGGTGGAAGGGTGGGTGTGGTTGATGAAACTCCCAAATTTTAGGAGTTCAACGCTACCCAGGGTGAAACCAGTGGCAATATTGATACTGGTATGAATAAGTTTAAAAACTGTTGGAGTATATGATTTGATAATATTGGTTAGCCATTAAACATCTTACATCAAATAACCGCAATGTAATATATATTATATTGCAACATAACTGATTACAGACAATAAATACTTATGTACATTTATAGTGATATTACAAAACAGTAGGATGCTGTAAAATCTCCCCAAAAGTTACCTGTGACTGTTGGTCATCATACCATAAATAGCTGATAAGCGTCATTGTACCGATATTTGCTTCCACGCTCGTTACCATATCAATAAGGCACATTTGACACACAATTAAAAGTTTGACATCAACTATCTTAAACTATCTGGAACTGACAATGTTTTGATCGTCCCCACTGACTGGCTCCGTAAGTCATGGCTTTGCATACCTGGCCGCCATTTTTACCGGGACAGGTGACTTGTCACCCATTTTCGTTAGTACAGGTGTGCATGTTTTTTCCAGAATACTCGCATTAAAAAAGCCGGTCATCTCCGATGGCCTGTCATATTAACACTTACACTTTAAACTCGGTGCCTTTCTTTCATATAGCCTGGTTTGTTTAACCTACTGTTAAATGTCACTATCAGATCAACTTACCTTCCCGCTTCGCTTTATAGTCCGAACTCTCAGGTGTGTAAGTTAGAATGGGACGAAATGCGGAAGTGGGTGTGGAAAGTTCAAGGAAACACTCTAGTCTTTTGGTCGTGAATCAGCAATGGGAATCGACGTGTATTTTCGAAACGCCTGCAATAATAGACAAATATGCACGCACAGTTATTTATGACACTAATTGCCTGTCCAAACAACGTTAATTGTATGGCATGATACTGCTGTCTGGATGGGAGCGTTTTGCTTTGATCTCTCGACGCGCGAAAATGTATTTATGTTTGAATTTTAGAATTGTCGTTTTAATAAATGTTTCAGCAGGTTTGGTTATTACTTTGAATATTTCATTATTTACTTTGGTTTATGTAAGTGGGGGAGTGTGTTAATTGGGTTTAACGCCGTTTTGAACAGTATTCCAGTTATATCACGAAGTGATGCAGGTCTCAAACGTGTACCACTGTGATGAAACCCAGGATGGTGCTGACGAACCTAGAAACGGGACGAACCGGGGTTTGAACCCACGATCATAGGTTTCTTGCGTGCCCAAGGGACGCAACTCTGCACACCGCGAGTGAGTGAGTTGGGTTGATACGCCGCTTTTAACAGTTTTCCAGTTATATCACGGCGTGTCAGCTTAATGTGGGAGGAAAGCCCAAAGTGATGCAGGTCTCGGACGTTTACCACTTCAGTGAAACCCACGAAGACGGGTATGGTGCTGATAAACCTAGAAACATTCGGGGCGAACCGGGATTGGAACCAACGATCATAGGTTTCTTGCGTGCCCAAGGGACACAACTCTGTACACCGAATAGCGGCGCCTTCAGATGACAGGACCCCCCGTGCCTCCATGTATTAAGAAGAATATTAATTTATTACTAAAACGAAAGGACAAACGTCACTGACAACTCTAACAGTAGTCAAAACGGATCCAAATGAACTGTGTATTTTCCTTAGTCTGTTGTCTCCGTTCACCAATACTGTCCATGCCGTTATGGACATCCAATCCTCATTTTATTAACAATGGATACCTGTACCTGGAAGGAGCTTGTTTTCCCGCGTGGGGCTATGAGTCGGATTTGGGCCCCGGAACGTCATGCCCGCGAGACAGCTAAACTGGAGTTGAGTCGCATATACCTACAAATTCTATTATCTATTATTGCGGGGTAAGCCTGCATATGGGCTGATTTGCCATATTGTCATTTGGAGAAGCACATCACTGGGCGCTCCAAAGCCTACAACGCCTATGCTTGTGGTACGGGGCGACTATATGGATCGGGTGGTCGGGCCTTGTGACCTGCTTGGTTGTGTGACATCGCACCACGATGGCGACATTGCTCAAAATACCAATTATTATTATCCCCCGCCCAACGAAGTCGGCGGGGGATCTAGAAACGGGCTCCGTCCGTACGTCACGTTTCGTTCCAGAGCACAACTCATAAGCCGTTCAATATTTTTTCATGAAACTTTGCAGGTCTGTCAGGTACATGCTGAACTGGTGCCTTTTGCTATTTAGAAATTTAAGAAATTTTTATTTTTTTACGTTTCCATGACAACAAGATGGACTTAGGTTCTGTGAGGGTAGGGTTCGTTTCCGGAGCATAACTCATAAACCGTTCAATATGTTTTCATCAAACTTTATAGGTCTGTCAGGTACATGCTAAACTGGTGCCTTTTACTATTTAATTTTTTGTTTGACATTTTTTTTTTATTTCCATGGCAACAAGTTTAACTTTTAGAAATTTATGAATTCTTCTTTCAAATGCCAAAAACTCAGTCAGTATAGGATTGTTATCACTTGGGACTTCAATATGAACCAGTCTGTCCGTGACAACAATGCACTATCCAACCTCATGGACCAGTTTACATTCGCCCAGTATATCAGCAAACCAACCCACACCCTTGGGGGTACACTAGACTTGATCTTCTGTAATGAGCCCATCTCAACAGGAGTCTTTCCAGTTCCATACACTGACCATCATCATCATGTGGGGTGTGACGGAATATGTGTAGTATATTGAAGTGACTATCATTATTTCTTTGTATGTTAATCAATGTAGTAATGAACTGAACTTTTTGAATCTTAATATTTTGCATTTAATCTACTATGTCCAAAGCAACATCTTGGGTTTTAACTGGTAATGACCATAATCACATATCACAAACTAATACCATTTATGTTTCTTAAGAAATATTCCATGTAGATATTATTACGAGTCAAAATGTGACTTGTAATGTTTTGTCTTTCTCCCACCCTAATGAATTCAGTAGTAAATGTTGTAACTGGTTTTGTCAGTTTGTGCTTCCATCATGTTTTTTGTGTAGAATGTTTCATTTGTTTCTTGAACTTCATAGAAATTGTGTTTTGCAGCACTTTAATTTGTTCCTTTAGGATATTTTGCATTTACATCAAGTAGATGCTCCCCTTCTGCCTTTTACTCCTTACACAATTTTAAATATTTTCAAATGTATGTATTTGTGTTATCAAATTTCACTGTTGTTGACATAATATACACTTCGTTTGCTGGGCAGGAGACTTGGCCACGTTAGTGGCAAACTCTTCTTTTTGGTACAATTTCCATGACAAGTTCCACCTTGGTTAAAAAAGGTTAGGGTTTGTTTAGATTTAATTATGTAATATATTCTGCAACAGGGGCGGGGGTTATAGCCAGGTGGCAAACTCTTGTTTACTTTGTTTCATTTGTTGTTTAACGCCGCACTCCGCAATATTCCAGCTATATGACGTAAAATATACGTACGAACACATGGAATCACTGTACATGTTACCAAATCTGGTCACTGTAAGTGAACCAGGCGTATAGGTTGATGAAGGGATGCTTGAACAGGCTGTGTTGGTTAGAGTCAAGCTGTTTGTAGTTTAGAGTCACTTTAACTCTCTTATCGCTGAGAGTGAGTGAGTGAGTTGGGTTTAACGCCGCTTTTAACATTATTCCAGTTATATCACGGCGTGTCAGCTTAATGTGGGAGGAAAGCCCGAAGTGATGCAGGTCTAAGACGTTTACCACTTCGGTGAAACCCACGAGCACGGGTATGGTGCTGAAAAACCTAGAAACATAATCGGGCGAACCGGGATTCGAACCCACAATCATGGGTTTCTTTCATGCCCAAGGGACGCAACTCTGCACAGCGAATCGCGGCGCCTTAGACGACTGGGCCACCCGTGCCCCCTTATCGCTGAGAGAACCACTGAAGATAGTACAACTTATGTCTACTTTAACGACACAAATAACAGAGAGGCTTGTCTGTGTGATTGTAATTGTGGCATTTCCCCGCGTTATATATGATCTTTAGTAGAGGCGAATCCTATATCGAAACACAGAAAAATGTAGCAAAGAGTTGCTTCTATTTCAATCTCATTAAAATCAGATCTAAACAGCGATAGCGAGAACTTAGATCTGATTTTAATGAGATTGCTTCTATTTCAAATTCCAACAGTTTTTAAAGTGACTGTCATCTATATAAACGACCATTGTGAAACCTGGTACTTTCTTTTTCAAGAAGCGGCATGAAAATACAGATGTACAGCAGATATTTCAGGATTAAAAATCATTTTATTCTTCAGGCGGGAGGAAAATTTGCAGGCGGTGGGAAATGAGAAACACAAAAATAAGTAAGGACGCCCTCAACATACGTTGCTCGACAAGATTGGTTGGTTGGTTGGTTTGTTGTTTAACGCCGCACTCAGCAATATTCCAGCTATATGACGGTATTTTGTAAATAATCGAGTCTGGACCAGACAATCCAGTGATTGATATCATGAGCATCGATCCACGCAATTGGGATCGATGACATGCATCAAGCAAGTCAGCGAGCCTGACTATCCGATCCCATTAGTCGCCTTTTACGTAAAGCATAGTCGCCTTTTACGGCAAGCATGGGTTGCTGAAGACCTAGTGGGTCTTGCTCAATAAGAACTCTTTAAGTACGGGTGCAAACCTCTTAATAATGCTGCTATTGTAAACACTGGTAGACATGGGTGGATAAATGTAATAGTATTTTGGAAGAATACTGATTCGTAATCCTGATTAAACATAACTCATGTGAAGAATGAACAGATGATAATGCTCTACGAATGTATAATGCCGGTGACCCCATTACGTGAATAAAAAATCATACGTAAAAGGAAAAAAACCTTGTTAATTAAAAACATGTGCTGACATATCAATTTCTTTGTGTACAGAATAGGCTGCTTTTTATGAAAAAAATAGTTATGAAGGCGGCTGCCGCGAAAGTTTGCTGCCACCTCATGGGCCTCGGCTACCCCTACGCCTGCTACACAGGTTCAAGACATCTGAGGCGTCACGCGTGGCCAAAGGCGCCACAATTCACTTTGCAAGGTTGCGCCCCTTAGACGTGCTAGGATCTGATAACCATGGATTTGAATCCACGATTTGCGCTAATTAGGTTTCTTGGTTTGTCAATATCATACCCGTGCTCACCCGTTTCATGAAAGTGGTCATTTTCTTATACCCCCATCACTATCCTTTACTCCAACGTGACTAGACTCACAGGTTTTCAATTAGATCTTTGAGTGGAATTTGAAAAGAATAATAAATAGTGCACATGACATGCATATTACAATTGTAGTGACCTTGCATCACTTGCTTGATAACTGTGTTATAATTTACCCCCAAACTTCGCTCAAATTATGATATAAAAAGTTGATCATCCATACGATCTTGTCATTATTAAATTTCAGTTCGACAGGAAATATTGGGTAGAATATCAAATTGATTATTTCTACAATTCTGTTGCGTTTTGTAGCTCCATGGTACGAGGTACCGTTCGTCCACAGTGAATGAATTATCAGTATTGATTTTGATACAAAGGGAGAAATAATATACAATGTTGAACATGTCGAAAGCTGGGGAAGACAGGTGCGTGAAATTAAGGAAGGGAGATAATATTCTCCGAAGTGACTTAGGAATCCAGTTACCTCCCTTTAACACGAACCAAGATGGCAGAAGTCTGTATGTGACAGCTCTAGACATTCTACATTTTATTTGTTGACACTGAAACGTAAAGTAAGTAGAACGATTCTTGTCTTCCAATGATATGAAAGAATATCATAAATTACATAGACAAATCCTTAATGGATATGTTACTTATGACAAACATGTATTACCGATCACAGTGTAGATCTAGGCGTTAGGGCTACCTGCAATTTGCGCAAAAATGCAATATTACTTATTTATGATAATAAAAGTTAAACAGATAAAAATCAGGGAATAGAGTTCACACATGGCATAGGAAGAGATAATTAATTCCATCTTATCCCCTATCTTATTTGAGTGTAGAAAATTATTTTTCACTTAAATTAACTTTTTAGTGTAGATATCAGGATACAATATGGACTGTGCCCAGCGGGACGCACCATGTGAAAATACAGAAAGTGTCAGCAGTTGCATCACTGTGACAGGACTATTGCTAATATATTGCAGTATGTCACTGATTGCCGTAAAGCTTTATGCACTGACTTAAACTCTTGAAAATGTAATTGCATGTTTTCCTATCAAATTTAGAAAATGAATGCTGTCAAGCTTATCACTATGTTTCTCATCAAGGTAAACATAATAAATATATAAACTGGCTTAACAATATTCATGTTTCTGAATTATTATTACAGCTAGATAACAGAAATATTTGCCTAAAACCTAGAAACAGTTACCTTATAGGGATACATTGTGCAAAATTACACATTTGTCATATTTATCTGTATAACTGATGTACATACATGTATATTGTATACAAGGTCTGGTCCTTTTCTACACCTTTCTGATGTATTTGAATTTCAAGATTGTCAACTTAAAATTTAATGATAGCTGTTTCATATGGCTTCATGTAGTCTAGTTATCACTGATGACATGGTTATTATATTATCATGATTTTGTACATTGATGTAACCTTGTATTCTTCAGATGCCAGGCAAGCTCAAAGTCCGTATCCTAGGGGCACGGAATCTGCCAGTGATGGATCGAGCCTCAGATCTCACAGATGCATTTGTTGAAGTGAGCTCACTAAAGGATTAAACTTTGTCAAAAAGCATATGAAATGTTAACCCTAACTCTCTTAATAGTAATTCTTTCTTCCCAACCAAACAACCAATTACCAGTTTACAAAATCTGAAAATAATAAACATGAATGATAAAAAATGTCAACATTCAACACAAATGCCAATAATAGCTGTTGGAAAAGCATGGAAAGTACCTGCTATCTACTTCCCTTCCAGGTTCGATTCAGTAATGAGGTGATGAAGACTGATGTGTACAGGAAGTCACTGAACCCACAGTGGGACTCGGATTGGTACAAGTTTGAGGTACGCTTCACCATGACAAACACCATTTATCCACCTTTATAATACAATTAACCATTTATTCAGATTGTGTATCTGTGGTTGCCATGTCTAGATATAAGCCCCCTCAGGAATGAGTAAAGACTAGTCTGATAGTTCCTTTCTGCTGATGAATCCTGATCATTATGGAAGTTTTAACATTTAACATGTACAGTAAGCTCTGGTTATAATGAACTCAAAGGGACTACAAATTTTATTTCATTATAACCAAAGTTCATTTTAAGCATATATAAAGCATATATACAACAAATGGTCGGGACCAAATAGTAAGTTTGTTATATCCGTCAATTTGTTATAAGCTTGTTCGTTATAAATGTTGTTTACTGTACATGAATTTGATGTTTTTTAGGATGCTTTTAGCATTATTCCAGGCATTTGACATGATGACCCAATTCTTTAATTATGAGGCTACCCCACCTTGACTAGAAGATACTTATAGATATTATGGTGCAGTTAAAAAGCCAAAGTTTACAGCCAAACTGCTAATCTCAATAGGGCAGAATATGGGAAGAAAAGACCAATAGTTGTCTGATTTGTGTCTTCTTTAATCCCTCTGTGATGGTGTGGATACTGTGTATATGGTGATGGTGTGGATTTGGTGATGGTGTGGATACTGTGTATATGGTGATGGTGTGGATACTGTGTATATGGTGATGGTGTGGATTTGGTGATGGTGTGGATATTTTGTATATGGTGATGGTGTGGATACTGTGTATATGGTGATGGTGTGGATTTGGTGATGGTGTGGATGCTGTGTATATGGTGATGGTGTGGATACTGTGTATATGGTGATGGTGTGGATACTGTGTATATGGTGATGGTGTGGATTTGGTGATGGTGTGGCTACTGTGTATATGGTGATGGTTTGGATACTGTGATGTTGTGGATACTGTGTATATGGTGATGGTGTGGATACTGTGTATGTGGTGATGGTGTGGATATTGTGTATATGGTGATGGTGTGGATACTGTGTATATAGTGATGGTGTGGATTTGGTGATGGTGTGGATACTGTGTATATGGTGATGGTGTGGATACTGTGTATATGGTGATGGTGTGGATTTGGTGATGGTGTGGATATTTTGTATATGGTGATGGTGTGGATACTGTGTATATGGTGATGGTGTGGATTTGGTGATGGTGTGGATACTGTGTATATGATGATGGTTTGGATACTGTGATGTTGTGGATACTGTGTATATGGTGATGGTGTGGATACTGTGTATGTGGTGATGGTGTGGATATTGTGTATATGGTGATGGTGTAGATACTGTGTATATGGTGATGGTGTGGATTTGGTGATGGTGTGGATACTGTGTATATGGTGATGGTGTGGATACTGTGTATACGGTGATGGTATGGATACTGTGTATATTGTGATGGTGTGGATACTGTGTATATGGTGATGGTGTGGATACTGTGATGGTGTGGATACTGTGTATATGGTGATGGTGTGGATATTTTGTATATGGTGATGGTGTGGATACTGTGTTTATGGTGATGGTGTGGATTTGGTGATGGTGTGGATACTGTGTATATGGTGATGGTGTGGATGTGGTGATGAGTTGGATACTGTGATGGCGAGAATTATCTGTGTGGTCACTGTGATTATTTATGAAGGGTCATGAAGTGACCTAACTGTCATGTAAAGTAACCGACATCCCTCACAGACAGTACTTGAAACTCCCACTGATAATGTAACCATCCTGATAGTAGATCTTCTTCCTGTTTCAGGTTGATGATGAAGTGCTTCAGGATGAACCCCTGGAACTGAGGTAGGTGCTGGATGGCAGAAAATGATATGAAGCAATCAAGCCATGAATTATGGACTGAAGGTCAAATTGTTAAAGTTATGCCTTTTTTTATCAAACAAAAAGACCAATTTTACGACACGTTGCAAACAGCAGAGGCGAATTGGAGTAGTGCTGCAATCGTCATTGAGTTATGACATTACTTTATTGTAACTCTGTGATATGAAAAGGTTGTGAGTGTTTGTTGTTTTACGCTGCACTCAGCAATATTCCAGCTATATGATGGCGGTTTGTAAATAATCGAGTCTGGACCAGACAATCCAGTGATTGACATCATGAGCATCGATCCATTCAATTAGGATACATTGACATTCACCAACCAAGTCGGCGAGCCTGACCACCCGATCCCATTAGTCGCTTTTACGACAAGCATAGTCACCATTTACGGCAAGCATGGGTTGCTGAAGATCTATTCTACTCTAGATCTTCACGGGTAGGTTGTGAGTGACCTATATATGAGGTCAATGTCACAGTGAAGGTCATGTATGACAACTGATGACAATCTTATGATAAGGGTCAATTGGAAACACTTTCATAGTCTCTTTTTACTATTTTTACAATCAGAGTGCTGGACTACGACACCTACAGTGCCCACGATGCTATAGGGAAGGTGTACATTGACCTGAACCCCCTACTCACCAGAGAGAGCCCCCACGTCATCAATGGATGGTTCCCTGTCTATGACACTATGCATGGTCGGTACCCACTCTGGTGTAGAGTAAGATTTCTAGTTGATGGCAGCTAATATGCCCATTATGCAGAAATAATGAGTTTGTTTTTGATGTTGGGTGTATTTTAACTATATTACTGTAATTGTAAAATGTATGAACTGCAATGAATTATAATTGTTAAGGCTAAAAAATATTATAGTCTTGGTTCTGAGGCAACGCCCGCATCATCATAAAGTCCGCTGCAGGTTTGTTTTTATTTCCATTTTCAAAAATAAAATAAAAATCCTAATACTTAAAAACAATATGAGCCAATATAGCACACAGTTACTTCCCCTTACATGTGCACTGTATTACTGCACATCTCGTGTTATGGTCATGGCGGCAATAGGAGTTTGTATTCCTGTTTATGTGGGGAGGCCCTTTCCCAGGTTGATGGTACTAATGGTTTATTTGGTTTCATACTAGTTTTTACAAGCAACTAAAAGACCACCGCCTGCACTATATTTTCCAAAGTCATTGCCTGAGAACCAATTCTTTTGTATTTTTAAGCCTAAAACCTACTATTCGCTTTTTGTAATGTGTTTGTTGGTCATCGGATGATTTAAGATTCAAGATGTTTTTATGTTCACCTGATGTTAAACTTAGATCACATGTTATAAGAAATATTGTAAAGTTCATTTTCTTACATCTTTTTTTAACAAAGTCAGTTTTTACGATGACGCGTATATTCCAGGAATCCGTGGCGAGTTGAACGTGCTGGTGAAGGTGGAGCTGTTCAGTGACTTCAATAAGTTTAGGCAGTCTTCCTGCGGCATCCAGTTCTTCTGTAGTGAGTTGAATGTGATGAGTCCTGCTTTAAGTGTTTAGACTTTAAGGAAAAGAAAATAACACATGAGATTTTTATTGAAATCATGATAGTGGCAATTACTTCCAACAATAAGAGCTTTATTAAAAAATAAGTAAACAGGGTTTCTAACAAATATGTTTGTGTATACAATAACATACAATGATTGTTTGGTTTCAGTTCAATCTCATTAAGATCAGATCTTACTTCTCGTTACCACAACACCCAATTCTTAGGACATCCCATTACAGGTCACGTCAGAACGACCTTTCATCTAACCTATCAGAGTGTCGCGTATGAGATCACGAAAGTGAAAGTTGGAATGTGTTTTCAAATCATGCAACCTTGAAAATGTTAACAGGCATTCCGAACAATAGTTACAGGGTGTGTGACCGATTCAGAATGCTGGACATTGTCTATCTCTCACTTCAATGGGTTAAACATTTTAAAAAGACTGAATAATTTCCATACCCCATGACAAGTACTGCCATACAATCTCGGCCATCTATTAGACATTCCAGAATTTTATTTTGTTCAGTCTTCAAATTTTTATAAAAGAACTTTGTCAAAATATTTCTCAAAGCATAGTCTGGAATTGAAGTTGCCATCTTGTAACTGGTGCCACAAAACTTGAGAAAGCTGCATTCTGATTGGCTAATGTCAACTTCCAGTTACCGTATTTTCTTGAGTATAGTGCGCACTTTTTTTCCCCAAAACCACCCCTGATGTTTTTTTCCCCCATGGAAAGACATTACCGTGAGCACGTAACACCGGTAATACCATGTCAACAAATCCATACTGAAGTACGCAAATTAGTCATGTAATTACACTGTCTGGCTATAAAAAGTGTTCTTTGTTTATCTGGACTTATGTTTGTAACTTATTTTATTAATTTTATTCAAAATTCCTCAAAATTCCTGATTTTTTATTTCAAATTTCGAATTTGTACTGACCAAGTTTCTCATCACCTGTTTGTTTGCCGGACTTCGCTAAAGGGGTACAGTGTAATTTTTTTCTGCTCTTGGTATTCGAATTTTTTTTTCTCCAAAAATATTGAATCCGCTAGAGGGGGGTGCGCATTATACATGGGTGGGCACTATACTCAAGAAAATTTGGTAGTTATTTAATTGGTCTGTCAATGTTTGCCAAAGATCATACTGACCTCACCTAAAATACCCTCAGATCTTTGTTTGGTAGTGAGCACAGTGATTGGTTTCAGTTGCCACAAGAAATCGATGATCAATTATTTTTCCAATATATAAATTGATTTTAGTAAATTTATAGGGATAGTGTGGAGGAATTAGTAGGGATTTGTTGGAAATCTGTTGGTTAAGGTGTCCACCTGTCATGCAGAAGGCTGGGGTTCTATTCCCCACATGGGTACAGTGTGTTAAAGGGCAAGTAAAGTAAAAACAATGATTGCGATTTTGTTGCGAATGTAATGTGTCCTATATATATTAAGTCAATACCCGAGAAGAAACATGTCATAACATTCGTAGAAAATATTTAAATGTCGCAGTGAAAGTGGTGAAATCACTTTTGGGTATGTGGCCCAAAGCTGCCAGCACAATGGTGTAGCGGTGCATGGCAAATGTTTTCACTGGCTCATATGTACAATTGTCATGCTTAGCAGCTATACAGATACAGTACACCCTATTTTATAATGGACACACTTATAACGAACAGACGGATATAACGAAGTGGTTTGTTTGGTCCCGGTCATTTGCTGAACATATGCTGTGTATATGGTTATAACAAACTACGGTTATAACAAACTACGGTTATAACGAACTAGGCTTATGATGAACTAGGCTAATAACAAACTACGGCTACCGTATTTGACGTAATAACTAATAAGTGCTCAGGGCGCTCTCAAAATTAGAAATAGGGGGCTCTTATTTGAATATTATTTTGGTGAAAAAAAAACAGAGTTGAAAGATAAATTCCGTGGTTTATGCTGACAGCCTGAAATGTTTATGTACGACAGATATATTTTTCCAGAATTTAATTGCCCATAATTAAGTGTGCATATAACACACAAGTGCGTATTATACGCGAAAAAATAAGTCGTGTACATTGATCAATCGAAAGGGGTGCCAATTGGGATTGTTCACTAGCCAACGTATCAGCAAATATCGCCGTGGGCGCTTATTACGTCGAATACGGTATAACAAACTACGCTTATAACAAACTACGCTTATAACAAACTACTTATCATGGTTATAACAAACTATATCATACTAAATGATTAATATGTTCACTCACTCATTACTACATATGGTTCACACAGTACAGTGTATGTGAATATGTTCACCCACTCATTGCTACATATGTTTTCATGCAGTACAGCGTATGTGAATATAGTTCACCTAGTAGTTGTGTCATATGTGAGATGCCCCCCTTAATCTCCTATATTGTTATACCAATCACCATCTTCAGGTGACATTGTACCTACAACAGTAAGTGCTGGACAAGTAGGAAGACCCCCTATAAATCACCTGCTGCTCTCGGTTCTATTCAAAAAAATGAATGCCTTTCAGAGATTACCCCCTGAGTAGACAACTAAAGGTGTCTTAAATGTTGTTAGTAGCATGGCATCAGTTGACAGGATGCAGTTAAAAAAGTCTGAGGTCGAACACGGAAACTACTGACTGGGCAAAGACCCGATCATTGAAATTGTGCAGCGCATTAAACAGCAGGAACCCATTTTAACCCCAGTAAGGGGAATCCCTTCAGTGGCAGAATGTTTTGTTTAGGGGCATGATTTTGCCTGTCAGTATATTTTATCATCTGTTGTTAAGCATGAAAACACAAGTCCATTGCAGACATGGTTTCAAGGTTTGTTGCTGTTAAATGTTAAAAGGAGATATTTTTGTGTGCAGAGTAATATATAATACAATTTATAAGACTTATTCTGTTTTACAGCTTTTTATATGCGAGTATTACAAGTCTTGTACGCGATTTGATCAGTTTTAATTTTATTCTCCATCTCCATGGTCTAGTGGTACTTGGTGTCCTTTCTGACACTCAGCATTAAGAGGATAGAACAAAAACTGCTCAGCACGGAGTTAGTTTACTGTGTCTGAGGGGAGTATCCATGTTAAATTGCGGCACGGTATCTCAGTGGTCTAGCACTGGCATTAGTCAGGACTACGGGTAGTACAAGCAGGCAAACATGGCACCGCTATGTAATAATCTTGAACACAATATTAAACCCCATTTCACCTCACCTCACTTATCTAAGTTCCAACTTGTCCTGTCTATCCCATTTCAGCCAGTGAAGTCCCTGCTGGCCACAGATTACTTGTCATCCATGGTTTCGTGGAGGAGCTTGTTGTCAACAACGATCCTGAATATCAGTGGATTGACAAACTTCGGACACCACGGGCATCGAATGAAGCAAGACAGAGGCTTTTCTCCAAGCTCTCAGGTAGGTTAATTCTAAACCCAGAGGCTTTTCTCCAAGCTCTCTAGTAGGTTAGGTCTAAACCCAGAGGCTTTTCTCCAAGCTCTCTGGTAGGTTAAGTCTAAACCCAGAGGCTTTTCTCCAAGCTCTCTGGTAGGTTAGGTCTAAACCCAGAGGCTTTTCTCCAAGCTCTCTAGGAGGTTAGGTCTAAACCCAGAGGCTTTTCTCCAAGCTCTCTGGTAGGTTAAGTCTAAACCCAGAGGCTTTTCTCCAAGCTCTCTAGTAGGTTAAGTCTAAACCCAGAGGCTTTTCTCCAAGCTCTCTGGTAGGTTAAGTCTAAACCCAGAGGCTTTTCTCCAAGCTCTCTAGGAGGTTAGGTCTAAACCCAGAGGCTTTTCTCCAAGCTCTCTAGGAGGTTAGGTCTAAACCCAGAGGCTTTTCTCCAAGCTCTCTGGTATGTTAGGTCTAAACCCAGAGGCTTTTCTCCAAGCTCTCTGGTAGGTTAAGTCTAGACCCAGAGGCTTTTCTCCAAGCTCTCTAGGAGGTTAGGTCTAAACCCAGAGGCTTTTCTCCAAGCTCTCTAGGAGGTTAGGTCTAAACCCAGAGGCTTTTCTCCAAGCTCTCTGGTAGGTTAGGTCTAAACCCAGAGGCTTTTCTCCAAGCTCTCTGGTAGGTTAAGTCTAAACCCACTTGACAACATGTTAGTTGTCACAGGCTATGTTTCACTTCCAGTAACAAAAAAGTTCATCCTGGAAGTAAGGCAATAAAAAGTGGAGGGAAAATAATGTTTGAAAGGCCCTCTTTTATTTTGTTGTATGCAAAATTGATGCTTTTGACAATATAAAGGCAACTTTTTGAAGAACAAAAATTAATATGTTTAATGTTTGTTTGTTTAATTTTCACCCACCCGTCAATGAACATTTTTCACACTGAAATCTGTAGACCCAGACAACAACCAGTCAGGCCCATCAGGAGATAACCAAGGATATCTTTAGGGCTTGGAGATACATCCTTGATAATCAAGTCTATTATGTCTTCTGTTATTTTGTAATGATAATTACCCTGGACCCATTTGCTGGAAAGGGCTGTTATCATACCTCGTCCTTTATACCCTGGGCCCATTTGCTGGAAAGGGCTGTTATCATACCTCATCCTTTATACCCTGGGCCCATTTGCTTGAAAGGGCTGTTATCATACCTCGTCCTTTATACCCTGGGCCCATTTGCTGGAAAGGGCTGTTATCATACCTCGTCCTTTATACCCTGGGCCCATTTGCTGGAAAGGGCTGTTATCATACCTCGTCCTTTATACCCTGGGCCCATTTGCTGGAAAGGGCTGTTATCATACCTCGTCCTTTATACCCTGGGCCCATTTGCTGGAAAGGGCTGTTATCATACCTCTTCCTTTGGCCAGTCCACAACTAATTTCAGGCTAGGTAAAACGAAGTTGTTCCCGGTTTGTCTTGGGACAGCTCGCTTGACAACTGGCACATGTTTTTGTGAATCTCATGCTCTTCATTCCTTGTATCTGTTAACAGACTACTTTCCACACCTCAACATAAGTATTCGACATATCGTCGTGGGTCAAAGACCTCCATAGTACTCCAGTCAGGAACAACTTTCATTAATCAGGAAGAAAATATATTTATGATAGACAATAGTTAATAATCTTTTAATTTGAATTTTACACAATATACAGCTTTTCCATTGGACGAGAGGTCGGTCACATGACTGCGAAATTGACGTTCATAAGTGTATGAACGACACAATTTGAAGTTCATACGTTTTTCACTAGACCGCGTTCATGAAATGACGTAAACACTGGCAGACTACTTCCACATTCCTGGGGAAAACCCTGGGAATTCCCTAGCACGATTACATACAGATACATTCTTCCTGACCATTTACACCCTTTAATCTTGAACTCAATTATTAAGTATACATTGAGTAACGTCAGTGAGTTTGACTGCATGCATGATCGTTCACGAATATCTTCGCTATGACCCATGCTTGTGAACAAAACGAAGTAATGTACATCCAAACTATCATAGTATCAATCTGTGTCTAGGCTGATGGTGAAAGTCTACAGCAGTCTATGAATTTACCTAAGTGTCTATTTGACACATCTTTCATCACCTTTCCATGGTTTCATCAACATGGTTTCCAGTTGATGAATGATGATTAAAACATGTAACCACCACAGGTTCATTAACAACTTTAGAAACCTCTCCCATCACGTTTATCGTGTCTCAAGCTCTGATATTCATACAGTTTGGCCCTCACTCTATGAAAGTTCTTACTCCAATGAACTCACACAAAGTGGAAGTCAGTTCTTAAATATTCACTCCTTCATTGATTGTCTAGAGAAAGTGTACATTGAGATCTATTTTCATTGGTTTAAAGAACATTTTGTGTGTTTACCTTATTAAATTTCAGACATTATTTTACTGGCTTGTGTTATATCTTGTGGGGAATAAGGTCTGCCTCATTCCCATTAGTGATTTAACATACCGTATTCAACGTAATAAGCGCCCCGCTCTAAAAAGCGCCCACGGCGATATTTGCTAATATATTGGCTAGTGAACAATCCCAATTAGCCCCCCTTCCGATTGATCAATGAGACAAGACTTATTTATTCTCGTATCATACGCACTCGTGTGTTATATGCACCCTTAATTATGGGCAATTAAATTCTGGAAAAATATATCTGTCGTATATAAACATTTCAGGCTGTCAGCATAAACCACTAAATTTATCCTTTAACTCTGTTTTTTCACCAAAATAATATTCTAATAAGAGCCCCCTATTTCTAATTTTGAGAGCACCCTGGGCGCTTATTATGTCGAATACGGTAACTACATTTGAGAGAAAACTACTAGTCCTTACATATTTGAACTATTCGACCTCCAGCTTTGTGGCCATATCAATATTTGCAGATGAGTTTAAATGACCGAGAACAAATTAGGCAGTAGGATTTGGACAGCAAAATTAGTACAGTGTTAAAGTCTACAAAACAATTATGGGTAACAGCTTCTTTATTGAACTGTAACTGTGAGACGCTTTGGTATAGATCCTTATCATACATCATTTCAGAATGATGAGATCTGATTGTTCGCGTGATCTTGATAGAATGCCATGTATCCCGCCTTGGGGGGAAATAAATTTCTCAGCGGGAGAATCAATCCCTTATACCCTGCTTTAAAGCAAAAAGGGATCACTGTACTGGGAGCAATAGTACACCTCATAACTCTATATTTCTTCTTGAAAATTGCCTCCACATACACCTGCATGAATGTTGCTGTTTTAGGTGAACTACAGCGGAAGATTGGGGTCAAGGTGATGGAGATGGGAGGCAATGCTGTACTGGGGTGAGACACAGGGTTTCTGAAACCCTTCACACAATGTGTAATGCATGGTTCGCACAGGTTTCAAAGGGCCTTGAATTTGGCTGCCCAGCCTTTAAAAGGCCTTACATTTACATCTGCCAAACAAGTTGATAGTGAAAAAAACCCATTGATGGAGAAAAGAGGTCTGTATTTAAGTGTTAAGTGAGTCATCTTTATCATCCAAAACTGGTTCCCACAGGAGATACTGCTTGGGTGAGATCAAGCGATATCTACATTGTAGATATCGCTGCAATGAAATTACATCACAATGCTTTGCCGACCATTGTGACGTCGTTGGTTACCATGACGTCACAATCAAATGATATCACTAATGGCTCTGCTACTGAAGCTGTTAGCAGTACTTTTTACACTTAAGACACTACTTATTACTGTCTACAAACTGAAAAGGTTGGAAGAAATGATGTTGGATGATAAATATAATCTCACTCTCGTGTCTTTTGATATCAAATATATCAACACTCGTTGATAAAAGTGGAAAAAATCCTCGGCAAGCCTCAGTGTTCTCCTGATTTGGTGCAGTATATGATGTCAATATAATCACTAAAAGTCCTGATAATGTTCTTACTTTCTGACTAATCGCTGAAATTCACTGTGCACAATTGCGGCCCATGGACAAGCCATAAACCTTTGTTCGTGGGATCAAATCCCAATTCATCATGGTTATGAAGAAAGACAAGTTCTATGGATGAACAACTTCTTTATTACAATTAGTGCGATGTTTCGGTGTAGATCCTAACACCTACACCAAAACGTCGCACTAATTGTAATAAAGAAGTTGTTCATCCATAGAACTCGTCTTTCTTCATCACACCAACTTCTAAATGCCACTGAAAGAAGTCATCATGGTTATGTTTCTATGTTTATCAGCACCATACCTGTGCCTGTGGGTTTCATCAATGTTGTAAACATCTTAGACCTGCATTCTGGCTTTCCTCCCACATCAAGACGACACCCTGTGATATGACTGAAATACTGTTCACTCACTCACTCTTACTTTTAAGAAGGAAGAAAGCACAGATATGAAAATGTGAAATATTTGTGAAATTTTTGAAAGGGGTCTTTCTAGTTAACAAGTAAATTTTCTTTCAGACCAAAGATGTTTCTGTTGCAATGGCTCTGTTGGCTTCCTGAAACACTTGCATTGTTGAACTTTGCTAATTTTTCTCTGTTCTCAAGCTACTGCCATTGTTTTGATCTGGAAGGGGAGTCCGGCATTGTGGTCCGGGGTATCGGCACCGCGGTCACAATCACAAAGTTCACAGGACAGTTGTCACCCATCGGGGTCTCGCCTTACAAGGAGTAAGTGTTCACTCTAGTCATCACTGTCTGACTCTCTTCTAGCTAGCTTCTCAATGCATAGTAGATAAAGTGAAATTAAGGTTGAAATGTATATCTTTAACAGTCTCCCAATTAAGTAACACTTATGGGAATATTTGTGTAAAATCTAACTATCAGTTGCTGTAATTCTTTGTATCCATTGTAACTGTTTAACAAACATAAAATATATTGCTAATATGATATTATCATTTATGATTAAGGCATACCAAATTTCAACCTTAGTTTAGTAGCTGCATATTTATTGGAATTATTTATCAAGCATGATTATAATGATTTCATGATTTTGTAATATGTATTAATTTGGAACTTAAATTTTCAGTTTGTATTCATTTCTAATTATTATTTTTTCAAAATCATATTTTGTAATGTGTTTCTTTTTCATGAAAGTATATTTGTTTCTGATAAATATTCCTCACAAGAGCAAATCATTGTCATAACATAAATCAACATTTCATTCAATGTTCTCAAACGATTGCAAGTTAATAAGATATTCAACAGCAGTATTCATCATCATCATCATTTTGATGTTTATCATCAATACCATGTATTCACTTACCATGTCTCACCAACCATCAAAAAACAATTAATTCATTTCATTTATTCATTCATTCCAATATTTTCTATACAAAACAATGTTCGCTACAGTGTACATGCTGTAAAACTTATACATATTTGGGTTTGGATATTTCCCTTTTTAGGATTGTAAAATAATAAAAGGAGATTTATTTTGAAATTGTTTGTACTAAATTTGTTTTTTTATAAATGGCACTTTGAGTTCAATAGAAATTTATAGAGATGTGGAACCTCTAACAAGAGTGATCAGATGTTGCTATAGTAACAGTGGTTGAGGAATCTGTATTTTAAGTTCTTGGATATTTGATGGCTCGAAATTCCTAAGCAGAATATTTACATAGAGCCCTTATTTGAAAGAGCTGACTAAAATGTCAATTTCGTGGTAACAATGGCTTCTGAGTTTGAATAGTACTTTGATGGGTGACATCAAGGGAAGACAACTCTGAAGTGTGAACTGGCACGACCCCAAGGGAAGACAACTCTGAAGTGTGAACTGGCACAATGTGTGTGAGCAAATAGGCCTTCTGTGTCCGAAGTGGCGTGATATCCGTAACACTTTCTAGTATGACACATTGTGCATCTTCATACCCTGACTCAGTTAATGCTCGCACTATTGACCACTTGTTCATGGATCAGGCTGCCATGATACAGTTGGAATTTGCTTCCCCGGAAATCCCTACACGATCACTTGCTTGCAAGACGATTGCTCTCATTAAATAGTAACACAAATTTTTTTTAGAAACTTTAGATTTCTTTTTTGAAAGTTCTTTTGTTTTTGATTGGTTTAAGGATCCACTGACGCTTAAAAAATGAAACATGAAAAGGAAAAACATGGTTTTGCTGAATTAATTCAAGTTTCAACAATGATAGTTCTCTTTTCTAGTTCTCAAATATGTGCTGACAGGATTTATCTTTTATTGAAAAAAATGGTCAGCACCAGACCTACAGATTCTTGAACCACTGAATATTAAGTGTTTGTTCATGGTCCTTCCTAATATATTTGCTTCTGTATGCTCTACATGGTGCCAAACGGAGCCACAAGTCTTGTATAATGGTATGTCTTTCTCCGAGAAGTAGTTCTGTGGCATGGTAGTCACATTTTGCCATTTTGTTGACTAATTCTTATTTTTTGTATAGTTTGTACAATATCACCTTCTTTATACTGTATCTTGCAAAATTCTAACATGATCGAGCTTCATCCCTGCTGCTTAGTCACTGTTGTTTCTGGGTAATTGGACAAATCTCTCTATGAATGAATATAGGTGCAAGGACACATCTGCAAATGTTGGCTCAAATGTCAAATTTAATGTTTATCATGTCCACTCAAACTATTTGTGATGATATTTAGTAAAAAATATTTTCATAAGAATCAGTGAAACAAATTTGTAAAAAGAAAATTTCAATTTAACCTAAGCCACTTTTTATTGTAAATTTTAAAAAGAGAGCATCCCTGTTATGACCGAAAGATAAATGCAGTTTTGTGAAGAAATGAATCGATTAGCTTGTGTAATATTTGTACAAACTATGCAGTACTAACACACCTAACCCTGCATGCCTGCCTGTTATACCTGCATGGTTCTCTAACCTGGCCTTCCTGCCTCCTGTCTCTCTGTGATATCATCGGACTGCCGACAGTCTGCTGCGAGAGTTTCTGATGATGACCACAGATTCTTTTGACCTAGCTGTTCGGGTCCCGATCTTATGACCTAGCAGTTCATGTCCCGATGTTATGACCTAGCTGTTCATGTCCCGATCTTATGACCTAGCTGTTCATGTCCCGATCTTATGACCTAGCTGTTCACGTCCCGATGTTATGACCTAGCTGTTCATGTCCTGATCTTATGACCTAGCAGTTCATGTCCCGATCTTATGACCTAGCTGTTCATGTCCCGATCTTGTGACCTAGCTGTTCATGTCCCGATCTTATGACCTAGCTGTTCACGTCCCGATGTTATGACCTAGCTGTTTATGTCCCGATCTTATGACCTAGCAGTTCATGTCCCGATCTTATGACCTAGCTGTTCACGTCCCGATGTTATGACCTAGCTGTTCGTGTCCCGATCTTATGACCTTGCTCTTCACGTCTCGATGTTATGACCTAGCTGTTCATGTCCCGATCTTATGACCTAGCTGTTTATGTCCCAATCTTGTGACCTAGCTGTTCATGTCCCGATCTTAGAACCTAGCTGTTCATGTACCGATCTTATGATCTAGCAGCTCATGTCCCGATCTTATGACCTAGCAGTTTATGTCCTGATCTTATGACCTAGCAGTTCATGTCCCGATCTTATGACCTAGCAGCTCATGTCCCGATCTTATGACCTAGCAGTTCATGTCCCGATCTTATGACCTAGCTGTTCACGTCCCGATGTTATGACCTAGCTGTTTATGTCCCGATCTTATGACCTAGCAGTTCATGTCCCGATCTTATGACCTAGCTGTTCACGTCCCGATGTTATGACCTAGCTGTTCGTGTCCCGATCTTATGACCTTGCTCTTCACGTCTCAATGTTATGACCTAGCTGTTCATGTCCCGATCTTATGACCTAGCTGTTTATGTCCCGATCTTATGACCTAGCTGTTCATGTCCCGATGCCGCCTGTATGGCATCCTCCCATTTGTCATATGTGTCTTTTGTTACATGTTAAAACAACACAGGTATTGTTAAATGCATCAGTAATCCTAGCTGATACCTAGCTTCATGGAATAGTCCAACACATTTGATATAAAACACAACACGGCTATCCAAACATGATGCATTCTCAATGTCGATCATAATGGTCATACGTACAAATGCACAAACAGAAAAATATAAATCAATATTTTATAAACACTACTCAAGACCATCATCACATTTATACGTCCATACTAGGGCTGAGACCGTTAACTCGGGTACTCAGGTCGGGTGGGTCCTGAGTAGGATCCGGGTACCCAAAGGACTACCTGAACCTATGGTTAGTCATGTGATATATTGTTTAAGGACAAAAAATATCTAAAACTTTATGGTTACACTATAAGTCACTAATGTTCCCATTTCTTTCTGTCAATGCACCCATTCCTTCTGACTTTTATATATTTGAATAAAGATAAAACTTCATGCAGTAAACATCAGTGTATGCATGACCAGATTGTTTTACATGTGTATCTAAATACATTTTGCCAGGGCTACGGTCAAACTTTTCCCATTAATACAGTTTGTACCTATCTCTTGATACCTACAGCGGGTACCAGGGTAGGGTTACAGGGAGGGTTGTACCCGGGTATTAAATTTGGACTCATCCCAGCCCTAGTCCATGCATCCATACATCCATATGCAGTATAGTCATAAGATGTCCTAACTACATAAGCTTCTAGTCCCAAGTCCTAAGACTTGTAAAATGTATTATTGCTTGGTAAGGTCAGATGAAAATAATCTTCATATTTTAAATTAAAGTCTACCGAGAATTTAGACAATACACTAGTTCTAGCAAGTAAACTTTCAGTGCATGGAGAGTGTTTTCAACCTTGGAATTATGGTGTAAAAAGTATCTAAAATTCTAAACAGCTTTTACCATCGTCGTCATTACGTATCAACAATATTTATTGTCTATTTCTTTTAAGTTGTAATTTGATGTACCTAAGTCAAAATCACATACCGTATTCGACGTAATAAGCGCCCAGGGCGCTCTCAAAATTAGGAATAGGGGGTTCTTATCAGAATATTTTTTGGTGAAAAACACAGAGTTAAAAGATATAAATTTGGTGGTTTATGCTGACAGCCTGAAATGTTTATATACGACAGATATATTTTCCAGAATTTATTTGCCCATAATTAAGGGTGCATATAACACACGAGTGCGTATTATACGCGAATATATAAATCTTGTGTACAGTGATAAATCGGAAGGGGTGCTAATTGGGTTTGTTCACTAGCCAGTATATTAGCAAATATCTCCGTGGGCGCTTATTAGAGCGGGGCGCTTATTACGTCAAATACGGTATCTCAAAATAAGGAGCCAAGTCCCAATTCATCTGTACTGCACAAAGATATTAATGATAAAAGTTTTATGAAAGAGCAAATTTTAGATTCCAACACTTCGGCATTGAATTGGAAGTATCAATTTTATGCTATATAGAGACATCCGTGACTGCTGAAAACCTAGAGAGACCTTAGCACTGGCTACTGTGATATATAATTTAATATTAGACTGAATTCCAAAAGGGCCTGCTTGCTATGAAAATATTTACTTCTAAATGTCACTGTAATATATGCACCCACCATCTCTCCCTATTATTGTTTACCTTTGCGAACTTCAAGACTAATCAACTTTTCATCACAGACCCGGGTACTTTGAATGACACCTCTTTTATACTACTCTTTATTATTTGTTTTTAGATTTTAGTTTTTA